ACTTAGAGATTATTCATGATGGGACAATATGCAAAAGCTAGATTTCAGGTTTTTTATGTAAGGAAAGTTATAATAGCTTCTTAAATGATGCTTTATATGTATATATATATAAGCTATTGGGTAATGCAGAAATAAATGCAATCTCATTCCTAACACTGGAAACCAAGTAATGATTAAATAAGGATAAATTAAGTGATACCATATAGGATCATATTCATTGAGTAAATAAATCTTGCCACCAGGTATTTTAAACAATTTCTAAAATATCTAAAGGATCAAATATGATTATAAGATTTAATATACCAATATGATGAATATGAAAATAGAAACATTACGGAAACGTTTTTGCAATTAACTTGATTTATTGCAATCCAGAAAAATTACTACTTTTAAATATTACTTATATACAAAGAAAATTGTATTAATCCTACAAAAAATATTTTCTTTCAATAGGACAGTTTTCACCATATTTCGATAAAGATCACGATGGAATTGGAACAATATAATGCTTACAATACTGATCCGTTTTGTAATAGTTAAGGAAATATAATAAAAAATGTTATATTTACATTTACCAAGTCAACATTTCTTTAAAGTATTTTGCTCCATATCTGTCTTTTATCAGCGGGCAAAACGCTTTAGTTCAATTCAAATTTAAAATAATGTAACTGTTCTGTGTTTTCCTGTTGGTGTCCTGATAATGAAGCTGCTCGGTTTGAAAATTTGACAACCTGATATTGTCTACTCTGCTTGAACAGTAATTCGTATCTGATGAACAACCATTCAAAAAGATACAGAGTATAATGGGATTTTACCGTTGAGATAGACTTTTAACCCAATATTTATATAACAATAGTGTTAGAAAGAGACAGACATTAATCTCCGAGCTGTGGTCCCTATCCGTACCGTATTCGAGATAACGGATGAAGATAAGTTAACATATTATCAGATAAACCTTCACCAATAATTAAACTATCATACAATAAGCTAGCACATCAACACTTACCATCACCGCGATGGGGACATTAACTGTCGTCTCCATTCTCCTAATGATTACAAAGGTAAGTGTGTAAATAATGTGGTGTTGACCATTTGGTTTCTTTTTCCAGTTCCAACTTGTAATTGAAATAGCTACAGTAGTGCTGTTGTGAGGAGAATAGAGTTTCTTTTCTATTTCGCTCCATAAACTGTAACTCATTCCTGAAATTGGCGAAAGTAATGCAGATGATTAGTGTCTTATGACGGTCATGATAAAAATGTGAGGAAAATTTAGGACAGAAGCATATTTTGCTTTGTGTAAAGTGTGAACTAATAAATAGCTCAAAATGTTGTTCATGGATATTTTAGGCTGATTTATTTCATATATCCTGTCGACTGTCATGTTTCCGTAGGGAACCGTTCCATGGCTTTACATTGGCTCTAAATGGCAATCTGTTATTGAGCATATTTGTTGTTTTGCTTCTGCTTTGACTTCCATTTGTATAAAATTGCAAGTATATTCGTTTTGCTCTTTCGAAATTGAATATATCTGCATAATATTTAGATAATATTTTATATAGGATTGTCAATTATAACTTGTATTCAGTATATTTATTCTGTAGTGCAATCTTGTATCCGGAAAGAATAGAATATATTTGATACAAACACACGATGATGTATGATTATTACATCAAAACATGATGAATAGTGCAAGAATACATGTCATTGCCAATTGTTATGTAAGGGCATGTTTTAATAGTTTACAAAATCATTAAAAGACATGAGTAATTAACAAATATGATAAATTTAATTGTTTAGTTTTCAACGTGATTTACATTTGTATAATTTAAACCAGTTTTAATCCTTACGATATCCAATCAATGCTATTTTTATTCCCAATCTCTGAATTTTCGGATAGCCAGTATTATATATACATATGTAAGAGAAATGATTGTTTTACAATATGTCCGCTATGGGCTGAAATCAGGACCTCTTGTATTCCTGTCTGACGCTCTACCACATTGAGCTAAAGACACATTTTCTCTTGCCGAGTCGCGGTGAAGAGACATTGCGAACCCCATTAGAAACCAGAGATTTTGTCTGTTTGTTTGTTTGAGTGGTTTTACGTCCGCTTCGCTATAGAGTATTTCGGTTATCCAGCTGACGAAACAAAACCAAGAACTTGTATACTTTGAGATGCTGTAGAGTGTTTGAATATTTACTTTAACAAACATCTACTGAACAGAAAAAGACCTGATATAAACAAGTATCGCATGTCATATGTTTACAGATGTAACTACATTGATTTCAATGACTCATATTAAAACGATCATATTAACGTGTACAATTATTTGTTAACTTAAATTATTTATGAAAGAGATATTCATAAGTTTTTTTGTTGATTTGTTTGTATGTTTTTTTTTTTGACAATTTCATTTAGGTAAATGCTGCAACCATACTGTCTGTAAACCTAGTATCTCTGTACAACCAAAACAGTGAAGTTTACACAAACAACAACAACGTTCTGTGTTGTAACAACGCTGCGAGAGTAAATCAACGTTGTGTTGATCCGTGTAATGCGGTTCTGCAGGTTTGTTACAGGTAAGTTATTAAATCGATACTTAGATACTATGTTGCATAAAGACACGTTGTCATCTGTTCGCAGTTGTCCATCCTTGACATTTTTCATGTGGTAACATTATCTCGGAAAGCATGCACTGATCGGTCATTTTCCGTGAAATTTATTTGATTGTTATATGTTGTCTCTATGAAAAGCAGGGAAATAGAAAAGCAGTGAAACAGAAAAGCACTTTGTCAATACAGCCGAAGCGCAACTGCATTTCGACATCCTATGATCAAAGGACAAATTTATTGTGTATATTGACTTTTCTTATAATTTTGTTTTGAAAATAGTTTTCACAACACACATTATGTCCTTTTCCCCTTCTTTTTGTTAATTTAGCTACGTTTAGAACGTTTGGGTTAGCACTTCTTTGAACACATTTCAAATAGAGAATTTTGCTAATATTGTTTAAAAAAGTCCATTAAAAATGATAATTTCATCATGAAAATAAGCCTGGACAAATAACGCTATAACCCCAAAAAATCCATTAAGAGTAAAGTACTCTTGTCTTGACTGCTTTTAACTGATATATTACTTATATTAATGTATTTACCATTAATAAGAAATGACCTTTTCTCACCTGTTTGTTATTTTGTAACTCATTACCACGGCAGCGTTCTTAGACTTTATTGTGTGTTTAATAAAGTGCCATACTCTTTGTCATACATAACTTGACGATTTCGTAATTTTATCATATAGGTTGGAAACACAAACGAAAAAACGTTACATCCATGACATGCCTCAGAAGACGTACTGAGATCGTTTGTAGTCAAATTCCTGCCTGCACTCCAGGCATTCTCATCCGTCACTACCTACAATGATCAGCATCAAAACGACCTAATATTCTGACTGAACAATGCAGTTCTCAATAAATAAAAAAGGCAAACTTGCAACGAATTGTGTTATGGGTTAACAGAATAAATGTAAAGCTATATATTTTTACTGAATAGAAATGCTATCATTATTGTCCGATTTTTCATTTTGCCGTTTTTCGTGTAAATGCAGTATATGTCAGCCGGTTTTTCTAGGCCTTTCTAGCATCGACGTTCATATTTGTAACAAAATTATTCCAATTTCTTCAACTTAACAAAGACTAGTCACCTTTCGATACTTGTATACATATAATATTTGAAGATTTGAATTTCAAGATGATCAAGATCGGCAAAAGTTGTCTGAACCTGTTAATGATTCAACTATTCTATTTTCCTTGTATACGTTAATTTTACAGTGGTACATTACGTCAGCAGTCAACGCTTTACCTCTTTTTACCTCTATTTATTTTTATGAATGATTATCTTTTGGATTGGCTATTCAATTTGAATATTTGTTTTCAATGAATTTTAGACCGAGAAGTCATGACCAATGTCAGCAGACTCGCACCAGTACCCTTATCCAGAAACAACGAAATATCCAATTCACCCCAACGATTGGCAATTTGTCAAACCCGATTCTCTTTCAAGTTCAGCAATGGACGGTACGGATGTTTGATCACATAAATGAGCATGTCTTCCTAGTACGCTTGTTTTCTGAGAAGCTTGTAATTTTTGTTTTCAAGAAAACTCCTACTGATTTGCAATATTCTTTTACAAGATCATACTATTTCGTCAGAATTGCGAAATCTATCACAGGTGTTAACTGAAATACAGCTTGAATATTACAAAGGTTTCAATAAAAAGCAATGAATTTGGTAAAGGTACGTGAAGATATGCTGAAACAACAAAATTGTAATGAAGGAGTCTAATGTTTAAAACGTTGGCATTCCTCCTTTTGTTACAACCATACCTTATAAAGACGAGAAATCGACCAATCATGGATTTGTTGTCTGAATATCTAATTAAGGTTTTTCTCGCTATGATGAACCTTCATTTTGACAAGCGTCCCTACAAATGTTAATGGATTTTGAAATCTTAAGGTTGTTCATATATCACTTTTGAAACTCTTAATTTCCTTTAGACATTTTATATCTCCTTTGGCAGAGGTTTAGCGACTCTAAAGTTAAAAGAAAGTATGGCGACAGTCGACTTCCTGTGTTCTAGGGGCTGTATTGGTGTGATATATAGTATTTTTATTGGAATGCCCATTAACATGTGGAGCCGACTTTGTACCGTATGAACATTAGATGCTTGTGGTATTGCTGTTCATAAGATATTTATATGATAATATAATAATTATTCAAAACCGACCGCTAGGGCTTTTTGCCTTCGTGTACTTCTTCAGTCCGCCAAAGAAGGCAGAAAGGCCTAGCGATCGATATTGGATACTTATTCTTTTATTCGGTATTTCCTTTGGAAGAACTTGTTTATTTATTATCTAATATATATATATATGTGTGTAATCGTTGAACAAAACTGTATGCTCTACTACAGAGAGTGAGCGACTTAGTTGTTAGTGTACCATTATGTCGATGATCTACTTCGTGTTCAACAGGGGAATGTTTCTGGAAGTATGAAATAGTATAGTTGGAAAAATGATTATATAGTTTTTGATATAAACAAACTTTATTTAACTCTACGTGAAAATATATAAAACAAGAAACATGAACAAAAATGTTCCTTTCTTATGTTATAAAAAATGGAAGGCATGTAGTTTCGCTATATATTACATAATTTAATATTTCAATTGTTTTATTTCAGATTTTTTCGGGATTTACTGTCAAAGCATTCGAAGACGCCGGATATACACGAATCATTGGTGTATTCGATGTATTTCCTTATCTAAGTAAAGTCGATACAAGTATACATACCGCCAGAGTGCACGAGAAAAGGTCAGCTCAGGACCGTAAAACACACGCAATGTGAGTATTACAAGAGGTAAAGGGCATGTCAGATAGAAAGCATAAATCTCACTTATTGTGATAAATACATCAGCACCTTATAGTTACTTTTAGAAAAATGTTCACGAAAACTAATGGTCGGCATTTGATAATAGATTATAATAGTATAACTGAACCATGTACTATTTTCATATCTGTTATGGTATCATTGCTTAAAACGAATGATGAAGATACAAGATTGATCACATGGAACTGTTTACCTCAAAGTAACACATTGAGTATCTGATTTATCAGGTATCATGTTTTCAGATGAATGTTAAAATACAGCATTATCTGGAAAAAATGCAAAACATTGTTTAATTGGTTGTTGCTTTCTTTCAGCCTCCATGTAACCTTCAAAATATATAAAAACCAACAGTGTAGTCCTGACCCCGCTAATAACAGAGAGTGTGACTCTAACGGAAACCTTGTGTGTTCAGAGCATTTCTACGGTCCACACTGTGAGAAGAAATGTGAACCAACACGTAATGGGCACTGTGATAGCAGCGGTAGGTTAGTTTGTAACTCGTTATTCTATGGGCTACATTGTGACAATCACTGTATCACTCCACCATCCCATGGATACTGTGATACTAACGGTACATTGACATGTGATCCATCTTACTATGGACTACGTTGTGGAAAGCATTGTGTTGATCCGCCTTCCCATGGACATTGTGATACTAACGGAACAATAAAGTGTGATTTATCGTACTACGGACTTAACTGTGACAAAAAATGTATTCCTCCGCCATCCAATGGACACTGTGACACTAACGGGTATCTACGTTGTGATCCCCCGTTTGCAGGTTCAACCTGTAATGAAAGTTCGGCTACAACATATCCTCAGGTAGGTGGAGATTCACCCTTCCTGCAACACCCCCACCCCCACTCAACCGCCTATACGTCCGCCTTCGAAGAAAAGCTCATTATGATGAAACATACATGTTTATTATACATGAAATGGCAAGAAGAAGAAAGGATATCTCCACTGAAGTCAAATGATCTTGAATAGGGTAGAAGAAACGATTCAGTGGAATGAACACATACATGTTTACTTTTTCGGTAACGGCGCTTACATAGAGATGAATTATTATATGGTAATTAGGAAATATTTCTATAATGATATTACTAAAAATCGCAAAATATTATATTAATTTAGCGTAAGCAAACAAGTACACATTCGAACCAAATGTAGAGAATTACATTAAGACACAAAGAGTATATATAAAACGAATCTACATTCAATCCTGGGGGTGAATCAGTGGGTGATACTCTCCATGGCAGTGAAAGTGACAATATATTCCGCATAAAGGGCAGATGACCTATCAACATATCAGTGATAAGTATACTACAATAGGGTACAACAGTCGACTTTAATCAGTCGATTTGACCGGTGTTAACCTGACGTAGATATGGTGGTGTTCTCAAGTGGAGTAGTTATTAACCGATAAAGCGAATAGTATTAGTATCAATGTGTCTCAAGTGGACTGGGCCAAAACAAAGATGACCCAGACAATATCGGTTTGTTTACTTATAACTCCCCTTGTCAACACGATAGGTTGAAGTTTCTGACGTGGATACATAGGGATGAACGTTCCACACTAATACACATGTATGTAACGTGTTGTACCTAATTTTATATTGGACAAGCAATATTGATATCTAACGGGTTCAGATATGGTCATTTCATATTCAATAAACATACGATTGAATGAATGAAGTACACACAAAAATATCCTTCAAATATCATAATTAGACAGAGCAATATCTGGTTTTATTGCATCATGGAATTTCTATTTGAATATTGTAAAGCTTTTCTCTCTCGATTGCCTTAATAATTGATAAGAATGCAAACAATATTTTTCAAAATTTTAACGAGAAATTGAGTAACATATTTAACATCTAAGTTATGTTTTGATTTTAATTATTAGTAATAAAAGTTTATTATGCATAAACCATATCTTTTTAAAAACACATTAAATATAACAACCACACAGAATAAAAAATACCTTTCTGGAAATTTCACAAAGCGAGGTGTAAACGATATTTATTCTTCCAATTTTAGTTCAATTGATTGGTTTCAATATTGCATCAACCTAGATAGATTCAATTTTCTCTTGTATGCTAACACTAAGGTAAAGTTTGTCCTTGTTTGATAAAAATGTGGTAAATTTGTCTTTATATGATTGCACTGTGGTATATTTTGTTCTGTGTGATGACACTGTGGTATATTTTGTCCCTGTGTAATGACACTGGTAAAATGTGTCCTTATATGATGACACTGTGGTATATTTTGTCCTTGTGTGATGACGCTGTGGTATATTTTGTCCTTGTGTGATGACACTGTGGTTCATTTTTTCCTGTGTGATGTCACTGGTATATTTTGTCCTTGTGTGATGACACAGTGGTATATTTTGTCCTTGTGTGATGACACTGTGGTATATTTTGTCCTTGTGTGATGACACTGTGGTATATTTTGTCCTTGTGTGATGACACTGTGGTATATTTTGTCCTTGTGTGATGACACTGTGGTATATTTTGTCTTTGTGTGATGACACTGTGGTACATTTTGTCTTTGTGTGATGACACTGTGGTACATTTTGTCCCTGTGTGATGACACTGTGGTACATTTTGTCCCTGTGTGATGACACTGTGGTACATTTTGTCCCTGTGTGATGACACTGTGGTGCATTTTGTCCCTGTGTGATGACACTGTGGTTCATTTTGTCCCTGTGTGATGACACTGGTATATGTTGTCCTTGCGTGATTATATTGTGGTATATTTGTCCTTGTGGCACTGTGGTACTTATGTCATTGGTAAATGGCGATGTGATATACATTGTCATTGCAAAACGACGCTATATTACAAGTATATCTTTAATCTGTGGTATCACTGTCTGTGGTATATATGACAAGTAAATGATATGTATCTATGTATTTCGTTGATTGTTGACACAATGAAACATCAGGGCTAATAGATTGGCGATTCCTATCCGTCCGTCCGTCCGCCCGTCCGTCTGTCTATACTAAGGTTAAGAAGAAAGGTTAAGCTCAGTTTCCAAGTTATTAATTAGCCCACATCAACTAAACTTGCAAGCCTTATCTTGTGTATATAAGGATGCTTATCGCGTGAGATGCTTCGGATGCTGCTTCTGACCTACATTTACCGCTCGACTGACCACATTAATAAGATAGGTTGAGGTCAGGCCCCATCTGCACTATGGTTAAGAAGATTGGTTTAGGTCACTTACCAAGTATAACTACTTGTCCTACATCAACTAAACTTGTATGGCGTATGTATCTAAGGATTCTGATTCTGACCTTCATTTTCTGCATCAATGACCAGGTTAAGAACTTTGATTTAGATCAATAACTAAGTTATTACTTGTTGTAAACTTGCATGGCTTATGTATCTAAGGATGCTTATCACATGCGATGATTCGGATGCTGGTTCTGACCTACAATTTCCGCTTTAGTGACCAGGTTTAGAAGATTGGTTCAGGTCAATTACCAAGTAGCTACTTGTTCTACATCAACTAAACCTGCATGGCTTATGTATCTAAGGATGCTTATCACATGCTATGCTTCGCATGCTGGTTCTGATCTACATTTTCAGCTTTAGTGACAAAGTTAAGAAGTTTTGCAAAGGTCAATAACTACTTGTTGTACATCAACTAAACGTGCATGGCTTATGTATATAAGGATTATAATCACATGCGATGCTTCGGATGCTGCTTCTGACCTACATTTTCTGCTTGACAGACCAGTTAAAGAAGATTGTCCATCTACATTACGGTTAAGAAGGTTGGTTTAGGACACTACTTGTCCTTCATCAACTTACATGGCTTATGTATCTGAAATGACGCTCATCACATGTGATGCTTTACATGGAAATGTCCTGTAGCCATTGGCGTTTTCTTGCTTGAGCTATGTTATTTTGTCTTTATAATGGTGTCCTTTAAGGATGGTCGGAAGGCGCAGTGGGTAGCACACTTGGGTAGCAGTCTACAGTAGAAATGTAAACACAGCGGATTTACCCTACACAGCACATCATTTATAAACATGTATATATATTTGTAAACTGCATTACATTTACAATATATATAAAGTACTTAGAAGTGTATTAACCTCTTTTTTCTATGTATGTCACCTGTGTGAAAACCATGGTTACCACGTCAAAAATTACCAAAAAATGCCAAAAATGCTATTTTTGACCTAAAATGTGACCCCCGCAACTAGTATTTTTTTTCCTAAGTTCTGTCTGAAATTAAAGATTACCTACTTGGTTGCAGAATAATCTGGGTCCCAGTAAAGTTGTAAAACTTGTTTTTTTGCAATTTTGCGACGTGTGCTGTGGTCACATTTTACCTCCTGTGTAGGCATCCTTTCTGATTATGGCCAAAAGTTTGATCTCGAACCAAAAACCATTTTTTTTTTTACAAATGTGAAGCTCACATAGCCCACTTCATCATGCTTATACCAATTTTAGTACAGTTTTATTTTTATATTTCATTTACATATCATTATACAGGGGTTAGCCATTTAACAAAAATATCACCCATGGCCACAACCCTCTACTGTAGACTGCTACCTTCAGATCCCTTTCTTTTCCCCAAAATTTAATTAAAACCTTTTAAATGTCTGGAAACTGAGACAATGAACACAACTATGTATCCGTTTCCTTTCTCACTTTAATAGTGACAGAGTAATATGAATTCTCCTGACAGGTTTATTTACCAATTCTGCTCTCAAACAAAGGGAGGTAATCTGAAAAATGAAAACTTGTTTTTTGGGTGAAATATGATGCTTTTAGATCATGTGCATGTGAAAAACGAAACAGTACAGTGATACTATGATTGTTACTGTCTTGTTTGATAACGTCATAGTAACTGTGATGTCAGCATAACTATGACGTCATCAATGGGCATCTATGACATCATCGAAAAGCACTGATATCAAAAAATTGAACACTAGGAAACCCATCAAAACAACAAACTAGCAACAGACACACTTTCCGTAACAAATGAACAGCGCAGAAGTTCAGATATTCTGAAAAATCAGACAAGTGCCACCATAGCAACCGTTTTTTACTTTCCTCGCCTAGAATTGACAGTGACTCTCAGAAATTGTTAATTTAACATATTTCGCTAGAATAAAAGATTTTCTTCAGCTGTAATTATGGATATAAAATTTATTGACATTACTGACTTTGCTTATTTAATCTGTATGCTAATTCAAGTGGAAAAAAACCTCTAAGATAGTGTTATTAGAATGAAAACAGATATTTTACCCATTTTCAATAAAGACAACTTTATGTTTTTCTCTCGGAANTACCGGGTGCTGAACTGAGTGAAACAGACTGAAATCTAGTATGAATGCATCCGGAGATAGTCTGTGAACTATTTGTTGTTTGGTATCAACTTTATCAATAACACAATTGATACATATGTGATGAATTGCAGAATTTTACAAGTGCCTGTGAAAAGGGCGTGTTACCCCCCTTTATACATCCACAGGTAATAGGCTATTGACCTATTTATTGACCTTTCTATGTAACGNTTACCAAAAAATGCCAAAAATTGCTATTTTTGACCCAAAATTTGACTAGTAATACTAGTATTTTTTTTCCTAAGTTCTGTCTGAAATTAAAGATTACCTACCTGGTTGCAGAATTATCTGGGTCCCAGTAAAGATGTAAAACTTGACTTTTTGCATTTTGCGTCGTGTGGTGTTGTCAAAATTTTACCTCCTGTAAAGCTAGCTTTTCATGTGTAGGCACCCTTTCGGATTATGGCCAAAATTTTATTCTCGAACCAAAAAGGTCTTCTTTTTTTTACAAATATGAAGCTCACGNCTTTTTTCTATGTATGTCACTTGTGTGAAAACCATGGTTACCACATCAAGAATTACCAAAAAATGCCAAAAATTGCTAATTTTTACCCAAAATTTGACTAGTAATACTAGTATTTTTTTTTCCTAAGTTCTGTCTGAAATTAAAGATTACCTACCTGGTTGCAGAATTATCTGGGTCCCAGTAAAGATGTAAAACTTGATTTTTTGCATTTTGCGTCGTGTGGTGTTGTCAAAATTTTACCTCCTGTAAAGCTAGCTTTTCATGTGTAGGCACCCTTTCGGATTATGGCCAAAATTTTATTCTCGAACCAAAAAGGTCTTCTTTTTTTTACAAATATGAAGCTCACGTAGCCCACTTCATCATGCTTTTACCAATTTTAGTACAGTTTTATTTTTATATTTATTTACATATCATTATACAGGGGTTAGCCATTTAACAAAAATATCACCCATGGCCACAACCCTCTACTGTAGACTGCTACCTTGCCTTTCACAAAGGCATACTCCGATCGGACATGTAAAGGTATGTGAGTCACCTTCCTGACCACGTGGGTTTTCTTCGGGTACTCCAGTTTCCTCCCACATTAAGATCCCCCGCCCTCTGACATCCGGGCCAAAACGAGATATTGATATAAGTTGAAATAATTTGTTTCGCAATTTGTGTAAAAAGGATAATATTCATATTTATTTTTTAAATTTTGTCCTGACATGTTAATGTTATGATATATTTTGTCCTCATATAGTTCATGTTATGCTAAAATGTGTCCTTGTACATCGGTGTCGTTACTATTTCTTCTTTTTTTTTTATTTTAACGTTGTATTAAATTGCCAATCTAAATATTGACGTTATGGCATATTATGTCCATTATTTGGACACTTTTTAGGTTTTATATAATAAGCACTATATGTGAAATATAAGAAAAAATACACTGGTCCTGTTGTTATGAAACTACATAACCATAAAATAAAGTGCAAATGTTTCAATATCGACATAGTTCAAAAGTCAAAACGAATGTCCCTCGATTATTTCATTTTACACAATTATCTATTTTAACATTTCAATGCAGCATTTAGGTAGCAGTGTACAAAAGTAACAAATCTGTGTCTACACAACAAAAGCTACCTTTTCTTGTAGTCTATATTTGTACTTCGCATATGTGTATTGTACAAAATCCATCTGAACGACCTATGCTGAAAAGTGAGTATTTCTGTTACCGAGTTGGTCATATTGTGGGTTAAAAATCTTTTTTGTTCTGTGTTTTGTGTTTTTGCATTTTTTTGGTGTTTTTTATATGGTAACCATGGTTTTCACAAGTCCAAAATCTGTGAAAATCACTTCTTGAAACAAATTTTATTCCAAATCTTTTTTTCTAAAAAGATGTTTTCAAAATGAAGTTTTTAAATAGATATATAAATATCGGTGTGTTTATATGATACATGCCCTTTATTTTTAGGATCAGGTCATTTATTGTACTCTGCTACCTAAGTAAACAGTATGACACAAATTATTTAAACGGATGCTAGCGCTTGGGGGTTTCAATATTGGTGGAAACCGAAGTACCTATAGAAAAACTGACGTTGTCGGGCAGGCGACTCCATACATGTTTACTTCCCATCAGGGAATCGAACCCTGGCCGCCTTTAAGAAATACCAGTGCGTTATCCAACAGACCAATTGATAAAATTATCGTAATCTTTATCATTGATCAAGAAACAATAGCACTATCATCGTTAAACCAACAATGTATGTTTGGTTCTTGGTTTGTAATGTATGTCAGGATATATTCGTTGATTGAAAGGTAAATATAACACACAGCTAATGTAAACTAGGCCGATAATCAAGTGATTCAAAACGTGGTGTAACATTTAAGTTTTATTGATTTTATTAAGGAAAGAAAAACTGCTAGTTTGCTATTTCCTAAATGTGTTTTAGAGTTTTGTATAATATATAGTCTAATACTATATATAATATAATATACAATGTAAAGCAAATCAGTTTGAATATAAGATAAAGTTGACTAATAATTAAAATGAGATCAATTAACTAAGTTATCTGATTGATGACTCAGATCACTTTTATAGTACTGTATTAGTAATTAAATATTTGACATGAAATAACCTTAATAATTAATATACGGTTTAAAAATGGTCAATAAGGCATCCTTTGCTGATAAATCATACACTTAAATACAGATTATAATGTTTAACTAGGTTCATAGTTAACAGCAGAATATAGACAATGTCTAAAGGTTTTGTTATTGGTAGAAATTAGCAAATTAATGTCAAACCCATTATTCTTTGACACTATTCAAATGCTTAAGTAATATTTTAAGCAAATATCTATATACGTGTGTATTTTAACGTGCAAACTTACAATAGCTAGAAAAAGTACAATTCTAGGCTTAATAAAATATGTTTCATTGAATCCCATGGAGCACATCTATTTTTCTGGTTCTTTCAATTTTCATACCATGGGCAAAAAACTTTCATTATTATAAGGTAATTGAAATGTGTACTTCATTCTATTTAACTTAGGTAAACGTAAACAGTGTAGTGCGTTGGAGTGCATAACAAGGTTTTGTTAAGTGCACTAACTGTTTTCAGTACTTATATTTGTATGTAACTTAAAGTGCACTAAATACAAAGTTAAGTTTGCTGCATATGCACAAAGGGAGTGGACGTATGTAGGCCTTAAGTCTGTATTCCATTTATTATGACAATATACCAAACTGTGATAATCATACTTGATGGCGTATAAGTATTATTATTATAAATAATTCCATTAAAAAAACCACAACATGACTCACCAAAACAATGGTTTAATTTCGCATTACCTGTGGTACCCTTCGTAGTGCAAATTTGAAATAATTAATCATATAGATTACTTTTTAGCGTGTTAGGGTAGAACATTCATTCATAAACGTGAGTTTGTCACCAACTATCTCAGACAAGTTAAATATGCGTTTTGATCATTGTACGTTTGATATGAAGATAAGGAGATAACATTAGTTTAAAAAAAAAATCTTGGGTAGATTAAATGTCTTATGGTACAAAAGCCTTTCTATATAACACATGTATATGATAATTTTACGACCGTACGTCAAAAGTTAACGAAACGTTTCATCATAGCTTTTTTTTTGAGATTGTTACGATTCATGTACTCAATCAATATCCTTATGCTAACATTTTCTTGTATTTGAAGGCCGTTGGAGATTTCACCCTAAGGATAACACTGCGGACCCTTTTCATACCTGCCTGTCCATGTACAAAACCAAGTAACACATGTATACCGGTGTGCCATCCAGCCGCCCAAATTTGTTTTAGGTAAACATACAAACGGATTTTGTTTTAAAAGTCTATATTTTTAAGGAATATAGACAAGCATCATCGAGGCATATCGCTGTCCATGACGCATATCTGTTATTGATGTGTTATTGTAAGAACAAAAAGTCATTAAAGAAATTTCATGGTTTTGCGATGAATAGCATATATATTATGAGTATGCAAGAAAATCCAATATATTCAAATCAGATTAAAATATCGGTTAATCTAGCCATGTGAGTGAAATATATGTGATATTGAACGAGGAAATATTTGTTCAGTGTGTTCTATTTAGGCACGTTTTTGAGTTATAAAGTACCGTCTCTTCAACTGTAGCCGAACAGAAAATAAAATCGATTTTGATTAAAGTGAATTAAAAAGTATCGTTGTAAACGGTCAACATTTTGCGTGTCTACACTGCATTGAAGATACAAGTGTTATCAATTAACGCATTTCTGATATCTTACAAGTAATACCTAATGTGCCGAACACCCCTACCCCACAAGGATTACCAGACGAGACTCATTAACAGATTCATTGTAGTAATGCTACTCCTACCCCACCAGGAAACACATGAACGATATATTGAAAAGATATCTGAGATAAGGTTAAGTACATCGGTTTCATGACAAGGCTTTAATGGGAAATAATTAAAGCAACATTCTTATTTCAAAGCGTAAATACATGTATACCAATTTCGGAAAGGCAATTTCTAAAATTATGCATTTGAGAATGCATCCAAGGATAATGCATGAACCGTAAATGAGTTGTGGAATATTTTTATTATTACTTTTGTTTTTGTCATTTTATAAGAACCGACTTTAAATATAATGTTTGACGTATTCTTGATTTACCATATTTTATTCCACTTGCAGGAAAAGTTCGAGGAACTTATGCTCCAAGACAATAAAAGGTACTACAGACTTTTCTGGCAAACACAATACCACTTTCGGATCGACGGTCGGGAATCTAACCAATCCTATTCTTCTTCATTTTCCAACTTGGTCGGTAAGTTTTTATTCTATAATGTATTAATGTCAAATCTTTTTTTTTTATATTATTTTTAAAATTTAAATCATGTCTATTTGAAATGGAAAGATGTTATTCCCACCGGGAAACACATAAACAATATTATGAATTAATATCTGAGAATGGGTAAAGGACATAATTTTTATAGCATGGAAAAATGTTAAATGATTACAGCAAAATCATTATTTCAAAGCAAATTCAATATGTTCGTCATATCTATAAGAAAACCCTGAAGAGATCCCTTATCCTGGGATCAGAACAGATAACCAAATGTTCCTTTATTATACACTGCAATAATTAACATGTAAATTTAATAAAACAGCGAAAAACAGTCACCATGAACCAATAATATAATACAAAATACATAAACAGAAGTTACTAATATAAAATATGCTGTTATAATTGCATAATCCCTCGAAGTTGTTTTCGTGCCATGTTTACACGAACTACTAAACATAAGATTTTTCTCACTACATTCGTTCAGAAATTTTGTATAAAACTTGATCTCTCGTATTCAAGATGAATTATTTCCTATAAAAAGCCTTCAGTTACAAGCTAACCGAGGGGATATGCAATTACAACAACACATTTTAAATAAGTTACTTCTGTTTACGTAGTTTGTATTGCATTGTTGTTTCATGGTGACTGTTTTTCTCTGTTTTATGTTGTGATATGTAAGTTGGCATGTTCCTGTCATGGTAAAGGGGCGGATTGCCCTACACATTTGACAAATATCTTTGTCTGCAATATCGTTATTACTTATATGCCCATATACAACTATATACGTATTTATAAATATATATTACATTTTTACTTGAAGCCGAGATATAGGTTCCAAGTGCTGTTTTATGGTAACGGTCAGGCGACACATCTCATAGGTTCCTTCCTAGTCACACCATTCCTGCCAAATACAAGTGTAACAACAGAGGGCCAGGACGTCAGACATTTTACAAAGACGTATTATAACACAAGAGCTATGTAGGTGCCTGCATTAATATAATTAGTCACAACCTGTCAAATGTATAAATATATACCTTGAAGCATGGAAGATTCAAACGTGACATTTGAATGACGACAAAGATATGTCCTGTATGATTCACGCATCAATCGCTAAATAGGGATTTTTAAGACAGGAATTGGTAGTAAAACAAAGTTTTTAAGCTCAAAACAAACTAAGTTTTTAACCTGAACCCTTGGTGTTTTGTAAGTACCCACCGACAAAAACTATATACCGGAACATTTTCACTGGAAATTCCCATTTAGAGAATTTATCCTGCTGTTAATTTTTTATTGGCCTAATTTTATTTCCTTAACCTCTTGTATATTTTATTATGCAATACAATACAAGGTCATCACAAGGAGTTTTCAGGCTTCAACTCATTTATATATGTAATCATCACTAACAGAATGACATATAAAATAACAAATGATTTTCTTTTTATATCTAATTAAGACTGACATTGGATTACGAGGTGTTCCGAAGTCAATGTACACCACAACCCGAACAGCATCGTGTGTGTAATCAAGATGGCCGCCTGGCTTGTGAGACGGACCACTACGGACCAAACTGTGACAGGATCTGTGTACCTACCGACCACGGCACTTGTGACAAACTTGGGCATTTGATATGTAATAATAGCTACTACGGACCCAAGTGTGATATACACTGCGTGCCTTCCGGACAAAAGACATGTGACAAAAACGGAAATCTGCGATGTCACCCGAACTATTACGGAACACAGTGTGATGTCCATTGCGTATCAACTATACACGGAAGATGTGACACACACGGAAAGCTACGATGCATTAACTACTATTACGGTCCAAGATGTAACGTACACTGTGAGGCTACAGGTAATAAAAATTGTACCAACACAGGAAGAACGGTTTGTAAAGATTTCTTTTATGGAAATAATTGTGAATCCCGTTGCAGCACTAGCGTTATAACCAATTTTAGACGGAACAACGAAGGGACATTGATTTGTACGAAGGACTATTATGGTCCTTGTTGTAACCAGGTATGTCCACATCTACAGCATGGTCACTGTAACGGTACTCATCTCGTCTGTGATCCCGGATACTTTGGATCCACGTGCGCAACGCATTGCCTATCAACCGACCACGGCAATTGTAACACCAATGGACAGTTGGTGTGTGACCACAACTTCTATGGGTTGTCTTGTAACGTGTCGTGTATTCCTACAGGACACAAGTTATGTGACAAAAATGGAACTCTACGCTGTGACAGGAATTACTACGGACCTCCGTGTGATGTTTACTGTTCAGTTCCGAATGGTCATGGCACCTGTGACAGTACCGGACAACCTCAGTGTGGTCAGGCATATTACGGTCCGAGTTGTAATAAGTCATGTCTAGTTAAATCCAACGGACATTGCATTGCCAACGGAACTATAGTTTGTGACAAAAACTATTTTGGACCCTTATGCGATACATTCTGTGCGGTTCCAAATAAGCTGCATGGAAATTGTGATGATAAAGGAGAAGAACACTGTGTTGGTCATTACTACGGTGAGAACTGTACCAAGATATGTCCTGTTACGGTGAAGGGACATTGTCTTTTCAATGGAACAGTTGTTTGTGATCGATCCTATTACGGCCCCACGTGCAACACGCATTGTGCGTCTGTGCTACATGGAACGTGTGACGATACAGGAACTCTACGTTGTGATAAAACCTACTACGGGACTAAATGTGACCGCAACTGCGTACCGACTAACCATGGCAATTGTTCCAATGAGGGAACACTAGTATGTGACCAAACATACTTCGGTATTTCGTGTGATGTCATGTGTGTCAATGTTACACATGGAGCATGTAACATTACTGGAAAACTCCAATGTGACGGGAATTACTATGGTCCCACTTGTGACACGTATTGCACTAACAAACAGCACGGAAAATGCACGGATAACGGAACCTTACTATGTAACAAAACCTACTATGGGGAAAACTGTACTATCCGGTGTACTGATTCAAATAAAGGACATTGCAACGAAAATGGCACCCTTGTGTGCAATCGACACTTCTATGGTACTCAGTGTACTACGTTCTGTAACGCTACGGAGCATGCGACTTGCGACCAAAATGGAGTACTTGAATGTAATCAAAATTACTATGGTTCAGCGTGTGACGTACACTGCCAGGATACGCAACATGGCTTGTGTAATAGAAGTGGAAACCTGATCTGTAAACCAAACTTTTATGGGCCAACCTGTGCGACGTTCTGCAATACTACAAATCATGGACATTGCGATAAAAATGGAACTCTCGTATGCAGTTTCAGCTTTTACGGAAACGATTGTGCAATTTTCTGTAACAGCAGTAATCACGGAACGTGTAATCAAAATGGAACTCTTGTATGCGACTTTGGCTACAATGGTTTGAACTGTGAAGTTTCTTGTAGCAATACCAAGCATGGTACTTGCAACCAAAATGGAATTCTTGTTTGTGAACAAGGTTTCTATGGGTCGAACTGTGACGCTTCTTGCAAAAACACGTCACATGGATCTTGCAATCTGAACGGAACTCTTGTTTGTAAAACTGGTTTCTACGGTGTTTACTGTGACGTTTCATGTAACGACGCACAACATGGAACTTGCAACCAACGCGGAATCCTTGTATGTGAAACTGGTTTCTATGGTTCAAACTGTGACGTTCAGTGTACAAACACATCACGAGGATCGTGTAGTCATAACGGAACTCTTGTATGTAAATCTGGTTTCTACGGTGTACATTGCGACGCTTCTTGTAATAACACAAAGCATGGAACTTGCAACCATGATGGAACTCTTGTCTGTAATGCTGGATTCTATGGTTCGAACTGTACCATTCCCTGTACCAACACATCACAAGGAGCGTGTAGTCATAACGGAACTCTTGTCTGTAATGCTGGATTATATGGTACGAACTGTAACATTCCCTATACCAACACATCACAAGGATCGTGTAGTCCTAACGGAACTCTTGTCTGTTATGCTGGATTCTATGGTACGAACTGGGACATTCCCTGTACCAACACATCACAAGGAGTGTGTGGTCCTAACGGAACTCTTGTCTGTAATGCTGGATTTTATGGTACGAACTGTAACGTTCCCTGTACCAACACATTACAAGGATCGTGTAGTCATAACGGAACTCTTGGCTGTAATGCTGGATTCTATGGTACGAAATGTGAAATTTCCTGTAACAACACATCACAAGGAGAGTGTAGTCCTAACGGAACTCTTGTCTGTAATGCTGGATTCTTTGGTACGAACTGTGACATTCCCTGTAGCAACACATCACAAGGAGCGTGTAGTCATACCGGCACTCTTGTCTGTAATGCTGGATTCTATGGAACGAACTGTGACATTCCCTGTACCACCACATCAAATGGAACATGCAACCAACATGGAACCCTCCTTTGTAACACTGGTTTCTTTGGTGTAAACTTGTTAACTGTGACGTTTCATGTAACGACGCACAACATGGAACTTGCAACCAACGCGGAATCCTTGTATGTGAAACTGGTTTCTATGGTTCAAACTGTGACGTTCAGTGTACAAACCCATCACGAGGATCGTGTAGTCATAACGGAACTCGTGTCTGTAATGCTGGATTCTATGGTGCGAACTGTAACATTCCCTGTACCAACACGTCACAAGGATCGTGTAGTCATAACGGAACTCGTGTCTGTAATGCTGGATTCTATGGTACGAAATGTGAAATTTCCTGTAACAACACATCACAAGGAGAGTGTAGTCCTAACGGAACTCTTGTCTGTAATGCTGGATTCTATGGTACGAACTGCGACAGTCCCTGTAGCAACAAATCACAAGGAGCGTGTAGTCCTAACGGAACTCTTGTCTGTAATGCTGTATTCTATGGTTCGAACTGTACCATTCCCTGTACCAACACATCACAAGGAGCGTGTAGCCATAACGGAACTCTTGTCTGTAATGCTGTATTCTATGGTACGAACTGTGACATTCGCTGTACCAACACATCAAATGGAACATGCAACCAACATGGAACCCTCGTTTGTAACACTGGTTTCTTTGGTGTAAACTGTGACGTTTCTTGCAAAAATACATCACATAGATCATGCGACCAAGATGGAACCGTTGTTTGTAATTCGGGTTTCTATGGTTCGAACTGTGACATTCCGTGTAGCAACACACAACATGGAACTTGTAATGAAAATGGGAACCTCAAATGTGATACCAACTTTTATGGGCCAGACTGTTTAACACCTTGCTATAACATCTCCAACAGCCACTGTACCGAAAATGGTACAATAGAATGCAACCATGGGTATTATGGGCCAGACTGTGACGTCATATGTTCTGATGTAGATCATGGTCATTGTGAAGTAAATGGTTCACTAGTTTGTGATATCAACTTCTTTGGAACGAATTGTTCGCAAAAATGTAGCATTGATAATATTGGCGGTATCAAGCACGGAAAATGTGAAATCGGTATCGGACCTGTATGTTATCCAGGTAAGGACAATATTTATATAATTTTTCCAACATTCTTGGTTCATTGTAATATATCTAATTTGTTTCCTTTCAATCCAAGTGACGACACGATGCATTTATTAGAATTCATTGCAACGAATTTCGTTTCTGAGCTTTTGAGACTCTGAACGAAAATATTTATTTATTTTATCAATTCCTTCCTCATTTTACTACAATGCCTGGAAAACTCAATTAATGATAATAATAGTCGCATATGTAAAAGACAAATTATAGACATACAACAAAAAAACCATCAACATTTTAAACTAAGAAATCAGAAGTTCTCTGCTAAATTATTCATGTCATGTATTATTATTTCTTTTTATGAAGGGTATACGGGACAACACTGTGGCCAGAATATTGATGAATGTCTGAACATCACGTGCTTTAACGGCGGAAGTTGTGTTGATATAACTAATGCCTACATATGCGTGTGTTCTAGCGGTTATTCTGGAGCTCACTGTGAAGTTGACATAGATAAATGCAGAAGTAGCCCATGTTTCAACAACGGAACATGTGTCAACCATAACGGTGATTTCTCATGTGCATGCGCAAATGGATGGACCGGAAGTGCTTGTGACTTTAATATAGATGATTGCAAAAATGTTATGTGCATGAACAATGGCACATGTGTGGATCAGGTAGGGTCATTTGTATGTCAGTGTGAAGCAAGTTACACGGGTGATTTATGCAATACAAAGATATACGACCCCTGTGCGTCCTCTCCATGTAAAAATGGCGGAAGTTGTCAGACGTCAGAGGGACGATATATGTGCTCCTGCCAAGATGGCTTCATGGGACCTGTATGCAGTTCTATTTCTCTGCTTGTAACATCAGACGCGCCAGTTTTGTCAACCTCAACATTATCCAACCACTACAGTACTGATGCTTTGCAGCTGCATTCATCGTATGCGTCAACCACAGACGTCTTTCTGACCTCGTCGTCAGAAACAAGCTCCCAGCACCACTCTGATGTTTCTGTATCGCGTAGGTCGTCTGCTTACCATGTGATGTCAAGTTACAACGAACCGCAATTCACTCCAACTTTAGAAAAGGGGCCATTCATTACATCTGCATACACTGTGTCATCAAAGATTTACCTTGATTCGATTTTCGTTTCTCAAAAACAATCGACAAACAATATATTGTCATCTATTAGTCACACTATTCGTCCGGCACGCACCACTGCTTCGTTTGGGAAAATAACAGACATTATACCTGAAAGATTTACTACTAGAAGTGCAACGGCGTATCCATCTTCTACAAATGGTGTTGTGACCGGTAGCCATGATGCTATTCGTACTACGGTAGTTAATATAGTTCCCACGAAGAGTTTAATAGCATTGGTAACTACACCAGGTGCGTATAGACGATGTCTTAGTTTATGTTTTGAACTGTAAATATAAGGTATAGTTTTAAAACGTTCATAGATGGCTTCATTATCTATTTAATTTACACTTTCACACAGGAGTTATTATCTAATAATTTGACCGAAATAACAGCAGAAGTGGAAAACCATACCCGCATTACTTGCAATTTGTTTCATCATACACATTATTGTGGTCTTCCTTGACAATAGCGAACCTATTTTTGTATTCGTAGATGGTACGACCTATACACCAATTCAGTTGAACTTTGATGGAATCATCGACCAATACTCACTTCCAAAAGTTTACAATGCACTGACGACAATATTGTCTTCGAAATTGTGTTCTGGTTCAAAGGTTTATGTGAAAGAACAGAGGACCGAACAAAGGAATAAAGGGTATGCGTTTTTTTAATTTAATATTAAAGCTTGAATTCCTGACAAATATTCTATTGCATCGTGGTGACAATTTCCTATTTAAAAACTATTCTAAGGAAGAAAAATTGAACATCAATGCAACATTGCTCAGTATTATCAATAATCTGTAAGCAGATAAAAGCCGTGGATACCAGATTATTTTAACTCCTTCACCCCTGAATTTCATAATGAATCATTCCATCCTTTGAATTGGAAGAGTTCAAATGTGTCTTCAGGGGAGAATGAGTTAAACAACAAGAAAATAATCATTCACGAGGATTATCTTACTTGTTCCTCTCATTCTTGTCGCGCTATAACTTAAAACGATGTTTATGTTTAGCTGCAATTGAGCAAAATGATTATTATAATCACAAAACGACCACCTTTTCATTGATGCCATTTTTGCATCTCAAATATTTTGTTCTCATTTATCAAATTTTGACTAAAACCTTTTTTATTCAATTGTTATTGTTAGGAAAAAGCAATCGACCTTGACACTGTCTGTCTCGTGCGTTGGAAAATCCCTCAGCACGAGAGATATCTATGAGGAGGTGTACAAAGCTCCGGATACCACTTTCCCTCTCCCGCTAATTAACACCAACCAACACACTACCAACCCACCATCAGAGGAAGCAGATGTAAGAAATTTATTAAGATCTTCAATTCTTATTGAAATCCAATATTAGAAATGTGAATGTTGAAAGAACATTTTGCGTGATTTCGATTCATTTCTTCTTCTTTCAAAGAAATGCATTTTTTTCTATATTAATCGTAATTATTCAAGATGCGGAAACAATCAAGTACACAATGCTTCCGCAAGAATTATAAATAGCGTTTCGTCTTGCGTTCATAATTTGGAAATGGTTTTGGTAACGCGCAATATGTGCTAAACTTTTAACGCTGCGAAAATTTCCACTTTTACAGATTTGTAGAAGTATCAAAATTCTACACCCACGAAATTGAGAAAATAGAGAAATCATCCCGACTTTCATAATTATTACAATTGCATGTTACATGTATAATTAATACAATCGATGGTCCACTAACACTGCTATGTAAACCACAGAACTGGCTGGAAAACAACTGGAAAATCCTACTAGGTGCGTCTATGGGTGTGACTGTGATCATGATCATCATTGTCGGTATACAGCTCGCAAAACGGTTAGTACAATTCCGTATCATCAGAAATTTTGGGTAAGGTTAGGCTAAGAAAATAATTTCCTTTTCATATTGGACCTAGTTACAATATTGTTTTTACATCTCTTTATACAGATTAATAACAAACACCTAAAAATGAAATATACATGAAAGTAAAATCAACTGAAATGTCCTATTAATAAAACACTTAGATTAAAAATGTTTTTGTTTCTGTTTGAAGGTCCAAACGACGGTATATGAAAGAACCGCAGGATTTCGGAGAAACAAGCGACAATGTACACACTAACCCAATGTATATGGAATCCGAACATGTTGTAAAATTACATGAATTTGAATACGACGCGTGATAGATTACAACAAACCATATATCTAACCCTGAAGAAAATGCAGTTTTGCTTAAAAGAATAACACGCACGAAATTAATATATTGTAGAAATGAAAAAAAACGACGCAGTGTAGAAGAATTTTAAACTTTAATCAAAGATTTTGTGTCGGGAGGATAAGATCAGAATTTGACAATATGAGAGAAATTCTAGAGGTTTAGTTCACTTACGTTCTCTTCACCGATGGAATAATTCACAACATAACTGAACCATCTTACGCATAATTCAAGCAGACTAGTTTGTACCATTCAGGTACATCAAAAGAAATGCGCAGCAGCATAACGGTATATTGACGAGGTATGAAGTCGAGTGTCGCTCCCCTTTAGGATATCAGTCTGGCTATTGGTTAGTTTTTTTATTTAATGAAACCTATCAAAAAGCTAATTGTGTGCCTTCAGATTTGTCATGACATACGCCAGGGAGGAGAAAACGAAAATGATCACAACCCTCGGAATTTCCAGGATGGACATTATGGTGTTTCTTTGACGACAATTAGTTATACACATGTGTACAGAAATGTATGTACATGTGCGGGTTAATAAATTCATTAGTATTATATTTTTCATTGTTATATAATAAACGAAAATTGCGAATGACGTATCAAATAGAAAGAAGTCATATTATATCTCTTTCATCATGCATATCTTTTGATATATCTAAGCATAATTGAATCATTTTCATTTCAAGTTTTTTTTTAAATTTGTTTGAAAATGTAATTAAAAGATATCTTTTGTGTCAAGAGGTATGTTTTTGATCTCTGTTAAAAGAATAGGAAGTGATACTTTTATCATAAATAAGCAATAAGTTCATATATTCACAGTTCCACTTACCACAATGGTTTTACTGTTAGCACAAATGATTACAGAACATTTAGGGTTATAAAGAAAGCTCTAAACGAGTGTTTTAAAAAGGGTTTTTATCTGCTGTTATTTAAACTATATATCTAAATATGTCATTTATTAGGAGGGTAATCCAGTAACCACTGATTTGGAACTATTATTTGAATAAAAATTAAAAAAAATTATAAAACAATGTTGAAATAATAATAATGAATTACGTTTCATTCATTTTCTCATAAAAAATCGGGCTGCAATATATTTACTTCATTGTTTATTAAAGAAAATATGACGGCTTAATATTTATTGTTCGTGTTTTATTGTTAATCTTATTAGTATACCCCATAATATCTGTCAGGCCATAAAAGTGACAAATGATTGACAATCGTATGGTATTTAGAATGCATTGAACACTTTTCCCAAGTCTGATAATCATTTGACGAAAACAACATTAAGATATGATTAATTTCGAAAATATAGTTAATATTTAAAACAAAGTTTTCCTGTATAATCAATGACCCTAGATCTTACTCCATTAAGGATATATGTTGGCAAATAACCTATTGGACGCGTGGCTCTCACCAACCAAAGGCTGCAGTAAAAGTAACCTTACTACGCTAAACCGCGAGAATATAAATTATGAAGCACAGTCGAAGTTAAAAGTATGTTATATTTTGCCAATCAAGGACTTGTTTTTATTCTATTATCTAATAAAATTATGAATTGGAGGTTCATGGTGTATCAAAGACACTGCGGACAGCACTAGTAATAATTCATATTGAATAAACTACTGTATACCAATGCAGTTTCGTAACAGTTAATTATCCGCCGTCTGTTTAAAGGACAAAATTGTGTACATTGAATCATTTAAAGTAGAAACGTATGAAAGCAAAGTTTGAAACTGGGCGAATATGTTGGTTTTATAAGTGAAGGGCGAAACCTTGACATGGGGAAGATTCAAAATATACCGTAGTTAGTTGGATATCTTGTGTTGTATAACTTGACATGGCCATAAATTAGTTGATTGATACAATAGTTACATATTTTCGTTTTGATATTCATAAAACTGTTATAATGCTATATCACTTATATATATTAAAAAAAAACAAAAAAACAAAAAAACGCTATAATGTTTTCTTCTTTATGTTAAATATTCGTTTACTGTTTTATTCATTCTTTACATTGCAAATTGTATTTTAACTTTGCCCTGCTTGTGAGTCTTGTAATAAAGAGTGTGCATTATATATGAATCATTTTTTTATTTCTTTTACGATCAATTTATTTTCAATTTTTTCTTTCTTTGTCTTTTTCTTCGTTTATTTGTTTGTTTGTTTCATATAACATATTTACATTGCATTCAACAATGACCTCATCTTCAGACATTACACTGTGTTATAACTGGACATGTTTAGTATGCTTCCGACAATTTTATGTATAAATATTTCTTGAAATAATAAGTGATTTAGGGCGTGTATGAAACCATGAAATCATGCATTTGTTTAACTTGTTCTTAAATAACAAAATGATTCGTTATCACTTCAATAAATCACCTGGAAGCAAAGAGCAATTGATAAATCATAAAGATATATATACAGATCGACATATCAGGAAAATAGTTGAATCCCGAAGTGATGAACTCAGGAATCTCTGTCCCATTCGCAATGGTTTTTGAATAAAAGGAACCTCCTCTTAATTTCGTTTTGGATATAACTGTAGTACAGTTGATCAGTGACGTTATCTGTTGACTGAGTAGTTTTGTTAGTAAGAGCGACAGTATAACCATTTAAAGTCCAGAAATCAAATCATAGCGGTTGTTTAACACCCACAATTAACACTTTAGTTGATTATATATTTGCTTAATTATCTCCATCGTATTAACATTAACCTAGCCTATTCTATATTTATGGTAGGATCTATTTCACACAGTGAGACAGTACGTACGTGATACTTCTGATGTTATTTTGGACATTAACCTAGCCTATTCTATATTTATGGTAGGATGTATTTCATACAGTGAGACAGTAAGTACGTGATACTTCTGATGTTATTATGGACATTAACCTAGCCTATTCTATGTTTATGGTAGGATGTATCTCACACAGTGAGACAGTAAGTACGTGATACTTCTAATGTTGTTATGGACATTAACCTAGCCTATTCTATATTTATGGTAGGATGTATATCACACAGTGAGACAGTAAGTGCGTGATACTTCTAATGTTATTATGGACATTAACCTAGCCTATTCTATATTTGTGGTAGGATTTATTTCACACAGTGAGACAGTAAGTACGTGATACGTCTAATGTTATTATGGACATTAGCCTAGCCTATTCTATGTTTATGGTAGGACGTATTCCACACAGTGAGACAGTAAGTACGTGATACTTCTAATGTTATTATGGACATTAACCTAGCCTATTCTATGTGTATGGTAGGATGTATTTCATACAGTCATGGATCACATATAGATAGGAACGAGACTGTGAACTACCGAAAACAGACAGGGGTAAGTGTCAATCTAGTGGTAACAAGGTCAGTCATGGATCACCTATAGATAGGAACGAGACTGTAAACTACCTAAAACAGAAAGGGGTAACTGTCAATCTAATGGTGACAAGGTCAGGCATGGATCACATATAGCTAGGAACGAGACTGTAAACTACCTAAAACAGACAGGGCAAACTGTCAATCTAGTAGTGACAAGGTCAGTCATGGATGACCTATAGATAGGAACGAGACTATGAACTACCTAAAACAGACAGGGGTAAGTGTCAATCTAGTGGTTACAAGGTCAATCATGGATCACATATAGCTAGGAACGAGACTGTAAACTACCTAAAACAGACAGGGCTAACTGTCAAGCTAGTGGTGACAAGGTCGGTCATGATCACATATAGATTGGAACGAGACTGTGAACTTCCCAAAACAGACAGGGTTTTCTGTCAATCTAGTGGTAACAAGGTCAGTCATGGATCTCATATAGATAGGAACGAACTGTGAACTACCCAAAACAGCCAGGGCTAACTGTCATTCTAGTGGTGACAAGGTCAGGCATGGATCACATATAAATAGGAACGAGACTGTAAACTACCTAAAACAGACAGGGCTAACTGTCCATCTAGTGGTGACAAGGCCAGTCATGGATCACATACAGATATGAACGAGACTGTGAAATTTCATACAGTCATGGCTCACATATAGATAGGGACGAGAGTGTTAACTAACCAAAACAGACAGGGGTAACTGTCTAGCCTAGCCTATTCTATGTGTATGGTAGGATGTACTTCATACAGTCATGGCTCACATATAGATAGGGACGAGAGTGTTAACTAACCAAAACAGACAGGGGTAACTGTCACTCTAGTGGTGACAAGGTCGGTCATGATCACATATAGATTGGAACGAGACTGTGAACTACCCAAAACAGACAGGGCTAACTGTCAAGCTAGTGGTGACAAGGTCAGTCATGGATCACCTATAAATAGGAACGAGACTGTGAACTACCCAAAACAGACAGGGCTAACTGTCAAGCTAGTGGTGACAAGGTCGGTCATGGATCACATATAGATATGAACGAGACTGTGAACTACCTAAAACAGACAGGGCTAACTGTCAATCTAGTGGTGACAAGGTCGGTCATGATCACATATAGATTGGAACGAGACTGTGAACTACCCAAAACAGACAGGGCTAACTGTCAATCTAGTGGTGACAAGGTCGGTCATGGATAACATATAGATAGGAACGAGACTGTGAACTACCTAAAACAGACAGGGGTAACTGTCAATTTAGTGGTGACAAGGTCAGTCATGGATCACATATAGATAGGAACGAGACTTTGAACTACCCAAAACAGACAGGGGTAACTGTCAAACTAGTGGTGACAAGGTCAGTCATGGATCACCTATAGATAGGAACGAGACAGTGAACTACCCAAAACAGACAGGGCTAACTGTCACTGACACACGGTGTATCTAGGTTTGATAAAACACCGGGAATTTAGAGAGATTATCACAAAGAGTGGAGAGAGACAGAGAGTCCGCTCCAGTAGGGGGCAAGTTAAAAATGTCGCGGCCACGATGTGAAGTGAATTACATTCAAAAGCCACATATGTGTTGTTCCGTGTGTTGTGTAACAATCTTGAACAATGTCGAAACTCTTTTGAAAATATGATTTCGAAATCCAAGTCTTCTGCTCTCGATATGTAGTACAGGCTTCGGTATCAAATGTTGAATTGGGTGATTTCTCCGTGATTTTACTACTAAGTAAGGTGACAATATGTGTAATAGAAAAAGAATAGTTTCCCTGCGAAATCTAAACCTTGAAAAAATCACATCATCTCCCATATCTTGAAACGGATCGTGCTCCCTGATTGTAGTAATTGCTTCATTTCTGCGTTGGCGCTGACGTCGCCTAGCCCTCCGTCGCCTAACTACAAAACCACCGGCCATTTTTATTGTAAACAGAGCGCTCCAAAGCTTGAGTTCGAACTTTAGTCTGCTCTTGGGCAGTCTCAGCTTTTTGAGCTCAGCTTGAGGCGTTGAGCTGAGTTTTAAGTTTGTGATAACGAAATACGGAAGCTGAGCTTGAGTTCGGACTCAAATCTCAGGTTAAGTACGTTTGTGATACCGAAGCCTGAGCGTGTAACCCTTAGATTTCAAAATTGCAGAAAATATAGAGCATCATCTATCATTGTGTACAACAATTCGTACAAACATTCTAATTCAATAATTTCATTGTCATACGCTAAAGGTAAAAAAAATCGCCTATAAGTATCTACAATATACCATAATCCCGGCCGATATTACCACATGCACGCTATTAGTACTGTTTGCATTTAATTATATGAAGTTATATATCATTTTATATCATATAATTTGATATGATCTTCTGAATATGGAGCAGACTACTTCAATTTTTCTCTTTTCGTTTCTTGAGAAAACGTAATTGGGTCTACGCATAACTTGATTGTTGCATTTGACGTCATAGTAAAATGGTGTCATGTTAGGACATTTAGAGCCGAGCTGAAATAACGTGATGTGACAGAAAAAGGGTGAATAAAAATGGACAGAACTTGTACAGTTCTCCCATATCCTATGTTTCTGTCTACAGGGTGGAATTCATTTGGAAGGAATTAACTTCAGAATCCAAATGAGACTAATAGGAAGAATTAATCACAGGAGTCTGCAGTTCTGTCAATAATGAACAATAACAGTAATATTTTTTTTTTACATATTATATGCTAAAAGATCTATATTTTAAGCATATATAATAGGTATTTTTTGTGTATAAATGTTATTATTCATTATTGACAGAACTTCAGGCTCCTGTGAATTAATCAATGATAGTTTTTACGATGACTTGGTGGACATTAAAGAATGTATGCATCTACAAATGATGATAACATTTTTTATAATTAGATTTACCATAAAATCGATCCCTTGTGAATACACTTCTAGATTACTCCCCATATCACTGATTACAAATATCTGGATATCAGTTAAAATATATGTATATATATATATTTCTTTTGAGTTAGCGTTCGCCATTTCGCTTGGATTTCAGATTTTTATTTCTCTTAGACATACAAAGTATGTAACAAGAGGTCATTATGTATCATATCATGTTGGTTAAGCGTGCATCGTCCCATAACGTGCACTTAAACAGTAATCAAGTGTCTATTTATTATAAACTGGACAGCCCTATGTTGAACAATTTCAAATTTGAACTGAGACATAGCAGTATGAATATGTTGTTCGGGAAAATCATATATAGATATTAAAAAAATATAATAAATAAGAATTACAAATAAAGATAAAAGAAAATGATGGTGTGTGACCTATATTTCAAATTAAAAGTTGTGTCCCTTGATATTTTATTTTAACCAATGAGCGTCGAAGAAAATCATGGCTGTTATCCTGCGTTGGCAACGCAACAACACAACACGAGGCATTCAAAACATCAGCCCGTGCTTATTGTCTAATGTGACACTAAATATACCGTCTAACAGCCACACACCCGTGTCAACTGTGTATTATAATAAGGTAAGCTATCTGAATTATATCAAATAACGCACAGGTAGAGAGACAATACATTTAAATGGGTTCATTGTATTGATCAACTTAGAGACACAGTTTACACTTTGTGTAACAGTATATGTAATGACCTACTGATGCATGTCGATACCAGCCATAGGTCAGACAGTCATTGTTTTATTTATCGTAAGCGAGGTATGACACATTGAAAGAGATCTGTGTTACCGTAGATACGTCCTTAGACAATAACAAACGGAAACTAGTCGATCAGTGTGGATCGAATATTATATTTGTCTTTGTTGACAAATCGTTTGACCAAATACACATACTGGAGAATTTGCAACAATGGCATCAGGTAAGAGTTCGTAACATTTAACGAGCTGGCATATTTTGTTCAAACTATGAATACGATGTATAATATTACATGAACTTTAATAGCCCGAGTTTCCTCTGGCCGTGACACCAGACTTAGACATTTTGCCCCACACTAGACACCTAGGCCTATTTGTCATCATGCCTAGGAAGTCTGGTGTCGGGGCCAGAGGAAACTGGGGACATACTTCAAGTATTGTCCATTCAACAAATGGCAGCAAATATACAAGCTAGATTACCACAGAAATTTATTGTATGTTTATCAATGTAATATAATTATAATAAAGATTTAATGTATACTACAGTATGTTTACAATGTATTTGTCAAAATTAACTGTCATGACTGTATGTCAATGGTGATTTCTTCCATTCCCCCATACTCAAGCACTTATATATGTATATATATATATAAAGAAAACATTGAGAAGTCCTTGTGTTGTATATACAGAAAATGTATATATATAATAAAAATTGAGCTTGTGTGCAAGTAAGCTGCGATATAACGTATCATTCTGGCGACGAGATATTTTTTAAAATATTTATTGCATCGTTTTTTATATTATTAGTAATATTTAATACCGGCAATCTTAATGTGTACTAAAGATATAATGTTCTTGTTGAATATGAATATGCAACATTTTTTTTTAAATAATACTTTATTGAAAGTTATCGGTGCCATGATACGAGCCTTTAACAATTGAAGCAAACATCTCTCTGTAACAGGAGTGAAAGTTGCAGCAATGACAGAACAGAAGCCCACCAAGATGGTTCGACCCAAACATTGGGATGAAACAGTGGAGGAAGCGTATAGGTTTCAAACGGCTGGATACCGGGATGCAGTGGAGTACCAGACATTAAAACCAGACTTCGAGGTAATTGTATAAAACTCTTCCTAGACAGGTCTATATATAATTTTCGATGGTTCCCATATTTTTTTTTGTGATATTTCCATCATTATTCAACTCTATTGATATGTTAGAAAGTGTCAAAGTTATTTTCCAGTATCAAATATCAAAATATAAGTTTTTAATTTTTCCCTCAATAACCGCCAGGTAATAAATAGTTTTAACTTTATCTCTTAATATATGCCTCTTCTTTGAATGAACGGAGATGATACATTATATCAGTACAGTGGTTCTCCTCATTTAGTACACTTTAATACAACTTAGTTGTAGGGTGAGGGTACCCAAATGGAACACTTTCAACATATATGATGCAGCATTTTTTATTTTGCAATACAAATTAATGGTATATATTCTCAATCAAAATTTGCTTAGTTTTATGGATTTTTAGCAAAATTCATCTGCCTACCTCGTAAACATTCTTCATAAACTCAATTGAAATATTTTAAACATGAAACGAAAAAAATCCCGGGAAACGATGAGGTGAGACAACAACTATCCTTTCATATTTCTAAACATGGAAAACTACTTGTTCAAATAAAATTGTCAAAACTTTTTTAAAGTAAAGAAAATTATTCTGAATGCCGTCAGTTATTTTCATAAACTGACTTGATGAAGTGGTCCATTTTGGGTACTCGACTAGCTAGAATTCTAAGTGAACCTGATGCACTTTAATGAGCTCTATCAATAGACGCACACACTGTTGATACACAAGAAATACAGAGAATGAAGGTGAAAGTCATGTATTGTTTCATTTTAGTAAAACAGTTGGTCTTTCAGAAACTTTATAGGAAATATTAATATTTTTCTTTAAAAAGTATTCCATTTTGGGTATATACCCTCACCATAGCCATCCTCGATATCCAGGGCTTACCAGTGAGCGTAACCCCTGGATATCGAGGATGCACCCTAGCATGCTGGCATCACCTGCAATGGTATGCAGTGAATAATATTTAGGTCAGCGGGGTCCTCACCTTTAGGTAAAGTGCCAAATAAGTGCAAAACTGTTGGAACTATTAAACTGCTGTTTTAATGAAACTGGATATGTACCTGCATGACACTAACATAGAGTGTGCAGTGTGACCTATTTAAGTGCCTATGATGTTCATCTCTTGAGTCTGAACTGTCAGTTTGGTCATGTTATGTTGTCTGTTACCAACTCAATTATACACCCCTGACATGCATTTGTTAAAAGTATTAGGGTTAGGGTTTTACAAATTACAAGTTAACTATTTTATAACATGAGTAGTCTTCATGTAATAAATGTGGAGATATATGTGTATGGTAAACATCAGGTTAGATCAAACATAAATAAAGAGGTACTGGCATTGCCGCAATCCTGTTTGAATTATAAGAAATTGTAGCTAGTTAAACTGAAAATAGTTTAAAAAATCAAGTTGATATCGACAAAAATCAATCATGACAAACAGTCAAGTCATTCAAATGGGACAACAACAGCATATAACAATGTATTTGTAAGTCTGTCATCGTGTAACATTAATGCTACATAGATGTTTTTTATTCTGACATTTACATATATTTTAATAATCGATTATCAGGTTCATTTTTCACTTAACCGTGAAGCAGATGCCACTATGTGTAAAGGGAGACAAGTATGTAAGCCTTTTGAGTGGTGTTTCTTGTAAAAACAGTTTCAAGTCAGCAGTATAATAACAATGATAACATACAACATTTATATAGCGCCCTATATAATTTGTAAAATTACTCTAAAGCGCTTTACAACATATGGATAATAGTAATGGTTATAATTGTGAAAACAAAACACAAAGGCTTACAATCACTTTTATACATTTAAGCAAGCAATGTGCACATAATTGAACAAATAAAAGGGTGGTATTTACATAACGTCTTTGCAAAGATTCTAAAATGCAGACGTGAAGAGGTGAGTTTTGATGTTCCTCTTGAACTTGGCCAGGGTATTCTACTTTCTAATAGCAGATGGTAAGTTATTCCACAACATAGCCGAAACCCTCCCAAAGCATCTGTTTCCGTAGGTCACAGTACAAGATTTTGGGACACACAACAAAGATTCTGACTCCGACCGCAGTGATCGTGACAACTGATACAGGGTAACAAGCTCCTTTAGGTACTGAGGAGTTGTTCCATTCAGTGCCTTGTATGTGTACACCAGAATTTTGTACTGCGACCTGTACCGTACAGGTAACCAGTGCAACGAATAAAGCACAGGCGTGATGTGCTCTCTCTTTTGAGTACAAGTAACTAGCCGTGCTGCAGTGTTCTGGACCCTTTGCAGACGACTAGTTAGACTAGTTATAATTGGTTTATTTATTACCTTATATAAATTTGTTACAACTTTAATTCCGGTTTTGTGTTACAGGTAGATAGATGGCCTCACAATGGTTACATCAAGAAGCTGGTAAGGAAAAATGGATACTACAACTACTTCAACAAAGAGCGTGAATGTCCAGATAAAGAAATACACAAAACAAAGATCTACATGTACTAAACATTAGTCCATCACAAATCGAAATGTTTGAAGATGTTTTAAAAAGAGGACTGATGTCTGATGAGACCAGCCAGTCATGCTGCTGATCATGGATACCTGTGTTTGTGTGGAGAGAGACTGTGTTTAAATGTGTCTGTCCTGCTACGTTCGGACATTTCGTATGTCCCATACTTCAACACAATATATTTCTGTGTGTTGTACCACAAAGGAACGGACCGGACCGTCTATAAGATATATGTCAATTTAGTCAAAAACTTTTTCTTTTTTGCATTCCATTCAAGAAAATAGGAATTAATGAATTTGAGTCTATATAAGAAGCCTATTTATTGCAATGGTGCATTTTACTTACTTACATGACCCATCCGGATTGACAACTTTATATGAGCTTTATCAGCATAATCATACACATGTGCATGGATATTTTCTGTACATGTTGGTTTGGAAAAATCCCATTATACATATAAAATACAGAAGTAGGTGATTTAAATGAATGAGTGAATAAATCTGCTTTCATGGACTGCTTATGGCTGGTTTTATATACAAACTTACACAGGCACCACTGCTTGCTCTCCTGACTTCTCCGTGTTGTGAAATGTGTTTACTGAAGTCAGATATGAAAAACTATAGTAGTTGTTTGTTGATTATGACTGACCACAGTGTAAAAGGATTTTAGATTTTATCAACCATCATTGTACATAGTATTTAAATTATCACATCATACAATTTTTTAATGTGTTCAATTCAAGGCATAGTGTATTTATAGTCCTTCACCTAAATCTTAAGGTTGCACTTTATTGTATAAGCTACAAAATGTGTTGTGATAAATCGAGTACCTTTATGTTATTTGAAAAATAAAAAAAGTGATAGAGCAGAACAATTGTTTGTTGTTAGCTTGATGGTAATTACTGGGATTTTTTTACCTCAGTTTAATTTTTGCCTTTTTTGCCATCCGTTGTGAGTTTGAATTTAACCCGACAGTAAATTAACATCATGTGAAGGCTGAAATTAACATTAGGTAAAAAAAAACACAATAACAAGTGAAGGGTGAAAATGTTCCTGTAAACAGTATACAACACTATCAAGTATCAAACAAGTCGGTGGTTGGAGTGTATCAAGCATGTATCCTTTTATTTATTGAAAGAAAAGCTTTAAAATGTTCTTCATACATGTATATCTTGAGAAAGAAATTACCAATTTGAAGAAAAAAAAATCAAGTAAAATTGCTAATAGCCGGCTTGGTCTTGGACAAATCAATTTATTGTTGAAGTAGTGATTCTAGCACAGCAGTGCATTTTAAAATGCATTAAAAAACAACAAAAAAAACCAATACCATCAATTCATGGTAATCTAGAAATGTTTAGCAGAATTCTTCACCATTTATCTACTGTTTAATTAATGGTTAAGAGCTCGAGCTGTTCACCGTGTGCCCAACGGTAGATATTTTTAAGAGTTGTTATTTTAGATAAAAAAAATGATATTTTAGATAGCTGTTCACATTATGTTTACTATATATCTTGGAACCATGTATAACCAAAATTGTTCACCATCTATCTACTTATTATTCATGGCTTAACGAAGTTGGCAAGGTACATTGTATATGGAAACTGGTTCCATCTGTCTATTCATGCACATTAAGAAAACATGTTAATTATAACCCCCAGCATCGAATTTAGGGCGGTATACTGGAATCATTATAACCCCGCAATGAAGTAAGGGGATATACTGGAATCAGCTTGTCCGTCAGTCCGTCCGTTCGTAGAAAATTTTGTCCGGACAACTCCAACTAAAGTAATGGACAAAAGTTCAACAAAACTTTCCAGATATGATAACTACCATCTTAAGTTGTGCATCCAGGTATTTGTTTTTCATTCTGACCCTTTTTTTACAAAGTTATGACCCTTTGTTGAAAAATCCTGAAACTTTTTTGTCTGGACAACTCCTTCTAAAGCTTTGGATCGATTTCAACGAAACTTTCTAGATATGATAACTACCAACTGCAGTTGTGAATCGGGTATTTTTTTTTCATTCTGACACTTTTTAACAAAGTTATGGCCCTTTGTTAAAAAAATCCTTGTCCAAACAACAAGTTTTCACATATGATATCTACCACCTGATGTTGTGCATCCAGGTATTATTTTTTTCAATCTGTCCCCTTTTTTGGAGTAATGGCCCTTTGTTGAAAAACACTTGTTCAGGCAATTACTCCTAGACTATGTCGCCAATTTCAACGAAAGTTTTCAAATATAATAACTACCCCCTGATGTGCATCCAGGTGTGTGTTTTTTCAATCCTTTTTGATGGAGTTATGGCCCTTTGTTAAAAAATTCATGTACTGACAACTTCTCCTAATTTACTGGGCCAATTTAAAGAAAGTGTACAGATATGGTAACTGCCACCTGACGTTTTCTTTCCAACTCTTTTAAAAGGAGTTATGTTCTTTTGTTGAATAAACCTTTGTCTGCCTCATAAACTACTGGGCTGATTTCAATGAAAGTTTACAGATATGGTAATTACCCCCTGATGTCGTGCATCAGGCTAGCATGTTTTTCATTTCGACCCTTTTTAAGGTATTAAAACCTTGTTAAAACTCTTTTTCTCACATCTTTTCCTTAACTAATAGGACAATTTCAGCAAAACTGGTTCATCTGGGCTAACAAGATTTGGTATGTAAGTATGTTTTGGCATGGGGAGGGAGTACAGGAAGTATGTCAGTGACCTGTGTATAGCTCAGTCATTAAATAAATCATTACTGGTGGGAGACTGGATTGCTTTGCAATGCTTTACCTTAGTAAGCCTTTAGCTTACAGTTCTGGTTTATAAAGGAGCAGGGTATTAGTTAGCATTTGGCTTACAGCTCTAGTTCCGTATCTGGGTTGGTGTAAGCATGTTGTGGATGCTGAAATTGACCTACTTTTTACGTTTCAGTGACTCGCTTCATGTCCCTCATGTTTGACATAAAAGTATAAGACTCTTTCACGCCTAGGGGTGTAGGATATGGAAATTCCACCCGAGGGGTTTTCAAATTTGGTAAAACCCCCAGGCTTTGCCATGCTTTGTACCTCCTTGTACAATTGTAATAGGAGGTGTATATCTACGATATGAAACATTAGAAGAGACAAAGCTTCATAGTTAGTTTATTATATTTAATTATTATAAATGGCTATATACATATGACTATTGTATAATAACATGAAACCTAGAAAATGGTTGGTGGCAAATGGTGATGGTAACCGAGAAATTACTGAGATTAGCAAATTATTTAAGTGAATTAGTAATAATGATCTGGGCCCAGTTGTTCAAAAGGTGGTGAGCTAAATCACTGTTTAACGACATTTTTCAACATTTAATAATTTCGTCAATATTCAAGGTAAAACCTAAAAAAAATGCATGTAAACTCACTTTACTAAACATTTGATATCCAGAAAGTTGTAACTAATTCAATGGTTGTGTTTTAAAGTTACTCAAAAATTAAAATTTTCTCTAATCACTGATTAAGCTAATCCCCTTTTGAACAACTGGGTCCTGTTTTTCAGACATGGCTAATGGTCAAAACAATAAATATATAAAATGGCAAGTAGCCACACGTGTATGTTTGCATTATAACTGTATGCATAATAAATAGCTTCGTATTAACTGAGACTGCCAACAACCATTTACTATGTATAACAAATGAATACAACCATGCATGTCTGACAAGTTGGCTACTGAAAGCACATACGTTTTTTAATATGAGGTATTTACCTGAGGCGAACGTTCGTTTGCCAAAGTCACCCTTATGGTTTGTGATATGTTTATGTTTCAACTACACTGCAACATGCTTCAACTGAAGTTTAAGGTGAAAAGACAGTCACTTAATTGTTTGGAATTGTGAAAATTGATAGTTTTCTGCAAAATTTGATAACGATACATGCCGAATGTGTTTTATCAGTTACCGAAAGAGTATAACTTGTCAGTTTGATGTTAAATAAGCCCATTTTGTGAAGAAACGCACATATTTACAAATATATCGCAAAATGCATTTGACCAAAATACCGCTTCTTGTAAGTCAAACAAAATAGAGTAACAGTGCGATTTTGAGTTACATGTTGTATGTTGTTGAAAGATTGATTCAAATGTCAACACAAACACAAACAAACAAATCAATTATTGAATTCGACGTCTAACAACCAGCACACACAGTGCATAATACATGTAATTATAATATATAATCATATAATTCACCTTATGATATAGGTAGCGATTCAGGGATTCCCTTTATTAGATATTGAAAAATAAAAAATAAAAGAAATGTGAGTTAATAGGCCAAAGTGAGTCCATGTTTACAATGTTTGATGTTTAGACACTGTTATCCCTTATTTGTTCAAAAGCATACGCCATTTGCAGAACTGTGGCGTCATCGAAGTGTCGGCCGATGAACATCATTCCGACCGGAAGTCCCTCCAAAGTTCCGGCATTTATACTCAGGGCTGGATGTCCAGTAGAATCGAATGGTGCGGTGTTTTTTATCATTCCGAATGTGAGGCGGAGGGTTTCTGGAAAGCGAAGGAAGAATTTTAGAATGTTAATTTTAGATTTCAAAATTAAGACACCCCCGAAAAAAACCCAATAAAAAACCTAACAGCATTTAAATCTTTTCCAGGATGTATTTTTCATTCACATAAATAACAAAAACGTAACCAATATTGACCGCCAAGCGTAAAATGTAACGAGAGATATCTTTACAAGATCGCCACCACTCTGTTTTTAATTATACGATATGGCGGATATCTGACTCTAATTCTCTTCTTTTTGAAAATATGAAACCCTATACATATTTAAGTCAAGGCCGCTCCGTCTTCGAAAGGGTCCCGCTTTCGACACAATTATTCCCTGCACCAAAGGAATATGTCGTGACAAAATCGAAAAACTCTTTTCGCGACACCTTGCAGGTGATATAAGTAGACCACTCCGATGCCTTTGATATCAAATGAATCGTGCGGCAGTGTAACGGTAAACTCGACAGACTTTGGGTTTAGCTTCACTGAAATTTATAAATGACGGTCATCATTATTGCGATTGGTCAGATTTCTATACCTTTAACCAATCAAAAAGCTTGTCGGGACCCTTCGTTGTTGGCATGACAAATTCCAATGGTGCAAAGAAGATGTATGGGTATCGGCAGTGCAGCCCTTAAATTTCGAAGATGATGTTATTCATGAAAGTGTAAAAGAAACATATCGTTTGATCTCAATAACGTGTACAGTTTTGCTGTAGCGTTTGAGCAAGATACGGTACAACAGGAAAAATAGCATTAACCAAGAAGCACTTCTCCAGTGATCGTAATGGCATCACCAAATTACAAAGAAAGATGACGTCGATTAATTAATAATGGACATTCACATTTGCTTGACGCAGAAGGGCGACTTTTCACATGGTTTACGACAATAACTCATTAGTGTATAATCTACGTACTGTATGCCTTACCTGGATGATTATGTCCAAGTTAAGCGATATTGACCTTAGGAACATAACATGTTTTATCAGCGGGTGGTACGACCTACAAAGTAAGCCCTCACGTCTTCTCCGTAATTGGTGGTCCGACCTCGACGATACTCACCAAATATATTGAGGTATCTCTCTGTACTAGGTAGTGCGACCCTGACCTTATACCTATCACATAAATGTCTCTCAGTACTGGGTAGTGCGACCCTGACCTTATACCTATCACATAAATATCTCTCAATACTGGGAAGTGCGACCCTGACCTTATACCTATCACATAAATATCTCTCAGTAGTGGGAAGTGCGGTCTTAACCTTATATCTCTCTCGGTTGTGTCTAACACTCCCTTGACCTATTTACATGATAGCTACATGTGTAGCTCCATAGCTGACCGTACACCCTTGGACTACATGTTTATACTTGACAGATATATCTTGGTAGCACGAAGTACGCCCTTGACCTATTTATATGACAGATATACAGTTTACGGCGATAAAAGGGAGTCAACCCTTGACTTTTACTACCTGATATAGATGTTTCGGTTGTGGGAAGTTCCATGGCAGTACAGGGAAGTGTTGGCATTACCAGAACGTCGTAATTCCTGAGTGCCTGGTCGTATGCCTGGGTGAGCAGACGGGTAAGGTTCTGAGCTTTTGCATAAAACTTGTTCTGGTAGTTCCTGACCATGTACTCGCTGAAAACCGCCAACAGCTTACAAGGCATGCTGAAGTCATGCGGACGGAGGTTGTAACCCCGTGCTAGAGCCTCTTGCATGGAAGTGCAGTAATGACCCTTCCAGTTCATTCCATTTCCTGTTGAAACATTTTATAATTCAAAACAATCATACGGGCCCTAAAATCCCGTTAATGATCAAGCAAGGTTACAAGTATCTCCTCAGGCTGATTATAACGTGTTAGAGCACTTTACACATTCGATACTATCCTATGAGATGACTTGTTTATTATATATACAATGTACAATGTTTTCTGGAGTGAATTTGAAGCTTGACAATGACTAATTGAAGCAGTCTAGTGTCTTATTGTGACCATTATTTATATTTTTTTCTTACCATGCCGCCATCTTTGCATCCCATAGGGAAACCTACCTTAGATCTTAATTTGTCATTGATTATTTGATAGTAAAACAGGGTAAAACCGATATTGAAATATAAAACATAAATAATTATTCTACCATTCAATGGTTGCAAATATGAACTGAATCCGATGCGGGTCTTTATATTTATTACACATAACCTTTTAACTACGTACGCACGGATTGTCTAACATACACAACGACAAAGTAATAAGTATGTGCACCGCAACAAACCGTATGTCATAGCAAACTGTACTACAATAGGGACAAAAATACATTGTACCACGTTTATGTCAAAGTTTAAAACGAAATTTGGATCATACGATATTATTGCTCAGCGTCACCTCACCGAAATGGTAAAAATTAATAAAAGAATCGTATTCAGTTTTTTAGGCAATTTTCCATCCCATGGGTTATCGTGAAAGTATCTTATAAAACAGTTATGATTCGTCTTTCGCTGGATAAACATTTGTCCATTTTAAGCTACAAGACATGAACAAGTACACGAGTAGTCTGAATGATAACAGGACTCACCATTTCCTTTAATCATCATGTTGTATGCTCCTTCGAAACAAACTGGAGTCCATATTGCGAGACCTAAAAATAGTACAATGCCATGCTTTGGGTCGGGTTACATATACCTACATATAACTGTTAGATGTAACTTTGTTTCCTTTTTAGATTGCTACAATACTCAGACAATGTCAATGCAACGTAAATATATACAGAATATAGTATTCTAGTGAAACAACACACGTCAAAGGCATTCTGACTGAGAGTGATCTTAAACAAACCAGATAATGAATGAAAGCTACTCGTTGAAGAAAATGAGTGTCCAATGTGGAAAAATGGGCTGAAGAGAAGAAACAGAGAACTATGTCCAGTTAGTTTGACGTCTGTTCTTTGACAAATATATCACAACATATACTTTTATGTTATTAAGAACAAAACCACTGCAGATACTGACGATCTTGTTTTTCACAACTAAGAAGGGTTCTGTAAACAGTGTGCTCAAGCTAATTTGACGTCAATATAATAAATTCGGAAAAGACGTCGACAAAGGCTGTCAGGACCATACTATCTATACGTTAAACCAGTGTGAACTCATAAGGAAAAGCAATATCTTGAGTACATAAATTCCTCATTGTCACGGAACAACACGTGGCGTCTCGAGTACACTTCTTTCTACCAGTTGTGTATATCCAGAACACTGTATTATACTCTATGGTAGTGTGAACGATATGCTGAAAGTACTGATCGGACTGATAACACATTCGCAGAGGACAAAGAAAAGTAACATACAGAAAGAACTACAACTGCAAAAAAGTGCACATAATGCCGCCGTAACACGAGCAATGGCTAGTAAAATTTAAGCACATGGACAACGACTCGAAAATGTAACAGGATGTCGAAAGAAGTCTTACAAATATCAGCTGGAAATATGAGCAAGGACGCGGTTATTCATTAAATTAGAAGTTGAGCAGAAAGTCGAACATTTGGTGAATAAGTTTCAGCGACAAAAAGTATTTTTACAGGAAGCGAATTCAGCTGCCAGCCAGGCGAACCTGTTTCTTTGATTGGTAAACACGCATTAGGGCTCTTAAATTGAATAGCAAAATAACAGTTCATTTCGTATTTTAGTAGTTTTAAGATTTTCTGGATTTAAAAAAAGTCTTTTATCTAAAATAAAGAAATTTTAGGGTCGGTATTGTTCATATGGTATTGCATCTTTTTCTGTGGTATGTGGAACTGAAACAACAAATGATGTAGATAAATGAATTCTATATTTAGAGATAGTTAAAACATATTTTTTGGCTGAATATGACAACAGTATGCATTCACAATAACCACTGTACGTTCGGGCAAAGAATAGGTAGTAGCCCTCTATGTGTTTTCGCAAGAGGCGACAAATTTGGACGTTTATTGTCCATGTATTCTGCTAAGAGGTTATTGAAGAAACCATATTTTATATGCTCACCTAGAACCTCCATTTTTCTTTCCTACTTCATATTTTTTGTCTTTTCATGTGGCCTAAGATGTTGCAAGGACGTTACACCCAAACAAATCAATTAAACAAACGGTCGTCATCATGAACCGGTTTACATCTGTGATATTTCAATTTCATTTCTACCACGATTAAAGACTCGCTCACCATTTACCTAGGTCGTTGTTAACCTACCTCCTGTTCTATATTTGCCGGAAGACAACGAGACGTTTGCGATATTTAGTGTAGTTTTTATTTATATGCCTGTATTCCCTCTAGATTTTGACAACCGTTCCTGATGCTTTCCTCTGTGTTTCCCGGCGGCGTGGGACCTTGTTTCTCTATTTAACATTTCCTTCTCCATATCGCCTAATTAAATCAATATCTTAATTTCCTTTGCTTTGTTGTGGTCTTGCTGACAGAAACATGGCCCCACGATCAGTTTTGAATTTTGTTATGAACTCATGTAACAGCTTAGGTATATGAGGGGGGGGGGCTGTCTTACTGGCAACCTAGCTTCTCCAGTGATGCGGTATAACCCGGGGACCCGCTCACTAGTTCTGCAACGTCGAGCGTGGTCAATAGTGGGATAGGTGACCGCCCGCATGTTCCACTAACACAACGCAAAACCACAGATAATACCATCGGTTTGTACATGGATGACCCCCTCCCCAACCCACTCCCACAGACGTACCGTCGGCATGTAGTGGTATGGACACCTCCTCTACCACAGCCCCGGCCTCCCTGAGTCTCAGTGCTGCCTCCCTGACACAGGTGGACACACCGACATCCACCCCGTCAAACCCCTCCGTCACGATGCCCACTCGCTTACCAGACACACCTTTCGACAGCTGCCGAAGACAAAACTCATTTATAGGTACATTTGTATTTTCAAAGTTGGTCTTTTTAATGGTTTCTTTATGTAGACTGCCAAAGAGTTTGCATATAGAGTCTCCGTAATTATATATACTTAACAGTCGTGCATAAACAACGAAATGTTACTGAAGTACTTTTATATTCACAGGGACGAACACAATGGATGAAATGGTCGATTACGTGCAAATGAAAGTTCATTATCCCATGAACCAGCTGCCACCCATTAATTGTGACTTACCATTGAATCAAAATGGCAAAGAGTATCAAAAAAAGATCAAAGTATATATCTGCACAGAAGCTGCAGTTGCGACCATTTATATGATCAAATGCATACTGACCAGGCTGGAGTAGGGGGGAACTTCGATGCCCGGATGTTGTCGAGGGTCCGTCCCGTTATCATACCCAGCCAACACCTATATCAGGTAAATAAGCGTGACGTTACACTTGTAATTACTTAACCGATTTGATCAAATAACCAATCGTTTAACCGGGTAGGTTATTTGCAAGGTCAGTTAAGTTGTTTGTGTAGGAAATTTGAGCCTCTGTTGTAAAAAAGCGATATTTCTAACTGTAACTTTCTTTAGATCTGAAAACTGTTCATATTAATTAGGCTTCATGCGATTATCCTTTAAGTGACTCCTATATTTACCTTTTGAAATTATCAATGATTCTTAACTGTCATGATTCAATATCCAAATATTTTATTGAAAATGTACAGTAGAACACAGAAGCATTATGTTATGACACAAATAAGGTAAAACTAAGAAGCATCTTCTCTTCTTAACAACGGATTTGAAAGGAGATGTTCCGATGACAGTGAAAGCCACCATGATGATTAATATAATCTTCCCCTGCCCTGAAGGTAGGTATCTAGCTACCCGAGGCTCTGCCGAGTGTTAGACAACCAAAACAATCACCCCGAGGGTTGGAGATTTTCCTGTTACACCCTTAAGATAGGGGATGATTATTCTTCTCACATCTTATTATTTTAGTCACAACTCCACCGACAGTAGTGTAAACAAAAACACATATGGGGTATGAATATCGTCATTCACTTTTGATGACGTCACAATTACCGGTGACGGGTTTTAATGACACCTGTGAAGAGTGGGAGAAGTTTAACCCACCTCTAAAAGTAAAGCACAATCCGCCACTGTGCGCGTCATTGGTCCCAGGTGGTCAACTGTCATCTCAATAGGCACTGCCCCTGTGTACGGCACTAGTCCGAACGTCGGCTTGTGCCCCACCGTCCCACACCAGCTGGATGGAATGCGGACAGATCCACCTTGGTCACCGCCAATCGCCATGTCTATCTCCCCTCTGGCAACCTAGAGAATGAAGTAAGTTATGGACAGTTAGTAAGTATAATTAGAGAATATCACTGCAACAAACAAATACGGTTTCTGTGTATTAGCAGAGTCAGATATTATGTTATTTGGTTAAACCTTCTAGATACAAACAAGCACAGTAGGAAAATAAAGTATACCTGCTATGTGCAGAAATATTAAGATTATCTGTCGTCGGGATACAAATATGAAGACATACGGTTATATAAAGCATTCTGAATGTAACAATGATAAGTAATTGATTAACAGCGAATTCTGGGTATAATAGAGTAAACCAATACATTATTTAATATTGGTGTCTGGTATAAACTTTTAATTAGATGAGACCTAATTCTATAAAGAGATGTAAGTATAAAAAGAGAAATGCAATAAATAATTTAATTATGATTAAAATTAAAAATAATTAAAATAAAAATAATTTAGACAGCCACTAGGTATTTTATAAAGAAAGGGAACATAATGTATAAATTTATTAATACACGAAATAGACTACTGAATAGCCTCTGGGTGACATTCATGATCGTGAACTCATGTTTCCCCGCGGTTATACTTATAACATATTTTTTTTGTACTATTTATTATGATTTTAGTAGTGTGTAGAGTGTTTTAATTCATGGCGAAAACCTGACTGTGATGTGCTTTTCGATGGACGATTCGTGGATCGAACTGAAGTTGATATGATGGACCTAGTACGCCAGTCTACAACCGGTGGTGAGCTATGTAAACAATCACCTACCAGGGAGGCTGAGCCGCAGCTAGAACCCCCAGCACTCCGAGTTGGACAGTAGGGGTTCGGAACTGGTCCAAGCGAATTAGTCCATGAGTTTCCAGATAGACAGAGGTCTTCACATGCCGTCTTACCCATGATTCGTCCTCCTGTCGGGACAAGACGTCATATCCGGTACATGCGATGTTGACGCAATGTACACTTGAACCATGCATTAAAACTCTCATATGGTGGATAGAGCGAAAGTGAGCGTAACCCCTGGATATCGAGGATGGGTCAAGAGAGACCAATGGAGTACAATTGATCAGAGATATGATTAACATCAATTTATTCCTAAGGATTTTTCCATTCACATAAAGAACCGTTATACATTTATGTAACAGAAACAAAATTAAGACATAGATGATTGACGATATCTTCTTCTCTTGAAGTATGCAAGCGTAACGCTTTAGGAAAGTAAAGTGTATCGAACATTTTAACGCAATACGCTTCTATTGTTTTAAGACCACGGGTGTAGAATTACCAGCATCAAGAATCCTCGTGATGATTGTCGCATCGAACTCCGGGGTGTATCCCTCCAGGTGCTTGTTGCCGTTCATCATTGGGATTCCTGCGATGGCCACATTGTCCTTGACCCCTATAGTTTTACCGGCCAACTTTCCAGTGTCTGCACCCTTAATATCACATCGCCAATACCTAATCAACAATATCATCACTAAAGAACATACCAGTACACAATGTACCTCATCAAACAATATCATTACTATAGAACTTACTAGTGCCAAATTTACCTCTACACACAATATCATTATGGTAGATCTTACTAGTACACAATATTCCTCTTCACACAATATCATTACCAATAAACCCAAACTTAAACGCACAACAGAACGCACAACAAAATATCATTAAAGAGGGTATCGCAGGGAAATATGCTCTTTCTTTGTGTGATGTAAATGTTGATGTATTTTATTATGCTCGGAAGAGTGTCTAATGGTTTTGTTGTCACCAACCGAGCTAGATTTACATGGCTGGTATTATCGATGAAGCAGAATATGCTTACCCTTCCGAAACACCTGGTCTTAATTTAGAACTTTTTCAAACGTTTCAAAGTAAATCTTTCTTTGTTCATATATCTCTATTTTTAATTTGCAACTAACAAAAACAATAACAATACAGAAAATTATACCATGAAATTATAAAACATATTTTCTTAAAATACTGACCAAGAACTATCCGTCGTTTCCCTGTGACCTGATGTCCTTGGGTACTTGACCGGAAGATGTGGTTCTGGGATTTCATTGATCCTCTGATAAACATCAACAGTACCTTTGAAGTACTCTGGAGAAAAGATGTTCATCAATCATTCTGTTATCATTAATATAATTCAGCAAGATTAAAAAATTCAAAGAAATAATAACTGTCGTATATATGAACACTGTCACATCTAGCAAAAAAGACGGACGCTTGCTTTCACAAAGGGAACGTTAAATATCGTGCGAATAGAAGTACCGAAAGTTAGGTATGATATTTGAAAAACAATTAGCATGTAAACGGGGAAAGTACAGAAAGTATGTATTGGACCATGTGATGTTTCGTCCATCAGTGTACCTGAAGTCAAAAGAGTGAAAACTAATGTCAAAATGTTCTGATACATATGTAAAAATAAAAGCAAAAACTTTATTACGCCAAAACTTTACAATCTTTGACTTCAGCAGATAACATATTCTTAAACTAGTACATAATGCACAACGTGCTAGAAATAATTCCAGTTACAAGACTGCGGCAAAATTTGATAACTGTTTACTGCATCCCAGGAAATTTTCACCCAATCAAACTTTCGCCCTTCGCCCTTGAAATCAATTTTCGCCCATGGTTAATTTAGCCTTTCACATTTAATTGCTACATATGCAATGATGTTTACTTCTATTCGCTGTAGATCATGATAGCATCGGAGGGTGAAAAAGGGCGAAAAAGGGCGAAAAATTAAATGGCTGCGAAACTTTCCCAGTATACAATATCCATTATCTCACTTTTTTCGTAAAACATTCTCCAGAAATACGGATTTAGGAAGTACCTATTAAAATATTTTATTTGCTGATACAGACAATTTTTTTTTTCCAATTCACATGTACAATAAAAAGGGGAGGTGTTTATAATATCGTTTATTTCATTATTGAAATAAGAAATAAAATGGCTGAATCTATTTTTGGTCTTTTCTGTTTTGCAAACGTGATTTCCTTGATGCAATCGTATCCTATTTCACCAGTTGCTAAAGCATGCATTTTTCTTGCTGAAACATTATGTCTCAAATGTATTTTTTAAATGGATTTTCCTTGCTGAATCCAGTTTTTCTCAAATGTTTTTTTTTTTTGTAAATGAATTTTCCAGGCTTAATCTTCATTCTGTCACATTATAATTTTTCTGTCGGGGTTAAATCTTCATCCAGTCTTTTTTGTTTTGATTAGGGGAATTTCCTTGCTGATTCAATAGGGTTTTCGTAGATGAAACTACATTCGGTAATATTTTGGTTTGCAAAGAAAATTCTCGTTTCTTAATCTCCATTCTGTCTCATTTGTTTTGCTAATGGAATTTCACTAACATCGTGTTTAGTGAGTTAACTACAAAGAAGTCGATTCAGAAGTACCTCAATTATTATACCGCCAACACGTTATTATTTAATTAACATATACACTTCTCTCCGATGTGTTGAAAAACACAAGGAAATAAAGAATCAGAACCAGAACTTTGATTTGCAAACGGGAATTTCCTTGTTGAATCTGTATTTGGTCTCATTTGTTTTGATAAGGGATTTTCCTTGCTGAATCTACATTCTGTTTCGAACGTTCTTTTTTCTAATTGGATTTTGCTTGCTGAATTTACAATCCGATGTATTTGATTTGATAAGGGGATTTTTCTAACATATTGTAAATTAATAAGTGAAACCTCGAATCATGTGTAACGATCATACCGCTAACCCTCTAGTATTTATATATGCACTTGGCTATATTCCAAATATTCAGATGGCCGCAAGGCCTGAACGCGTTGGCGATGATTAACTATATTATCTTTGTTAATGATGTTTTAGGTCTCGATTCACGAACATCCTGACTTACTGAAGTGTCCTTTACTTTTTAAGCATTTGCAAATATCTCATCTGTGTTTACCATGGAAAAGATCTATCTCCGCTTCACTGCACTTCAGGCGGAGATCATCCGATATCTGAGTCAGCTCATTTTTAGACGGTAGTAGTATGGCGGGATTCTTCAGGAGTCCTGTAAAAATAAAAATAAATATTATTTCACAAGTGATGTCAGTTCATCTCCTATGCATATTACTAAGTTACGGTACGTTGCTCTAGTGCCCGTCATATGTTATTGACTTGTGGTATTTACCAATCTGATTAAAATCATCTGTTACATGGCTCCGCCTGAACATCGTTCAGGCGTAGTACGAAGTTAACGAAGCCATGTAACATATGATTTTAATCAGATTGGGTATTTACAACATTCATTTGACCTACATTTGTATGCAGTGATTTTATTACAGAACTGTTATTTATACCTTGTGCGATGGTTAGTGAAAATTGACTACCAATTATCCCGTGTTACTTACCTCATATACTACAGTGTATGTAGAAATCTTACATAATTAGAACAATGATTACCTACTACAATGTAGTCGTGTATTTAGGAATATATTGATATTTAAAAAAGGCATGATCTCCGCCTGAAGTGCAGTGAAGCGGAGATAGATCTTTTCCATGGTAAACACAGATGAGATATTTGCAAATGCTTAAAAAGTAAAGGACACTTCAGTAAGTCAGGATGTTCGTGAAAGCGACACTTAACTTGTCACCGTATGCTCATTTAGTTACCCTATTCTGTTACTTCAGTGTTCACGTTTACCCTATTCTGTTACTTCGGTGTTCACGTTTACCCTATTCTGTTACTAAGGTGTTCACGTCTACCCTATTCTGTTACTTAGGTGTTCACGTTTACCCTATTATGTTACTTAGGTGTTCACGTTTACCCTATTCTGTTACTTAGGTGTTCATGTTTACCCTATTCTGTTACTTCGTTGTTCACGTTTACCCTATTATGTTACCTAGGTGTTCACATTTACCGTTTTCTGTTACTTAGGTGTTCACGTTAACCCTATTCCGTTACTTCGGTGTTCACGTTTTTACCCTATTATCTTACTTCGGTGTTCACGTTTAGCTATTATTTTACTTCGGTGTTCACGTTTACCTTATTCTGTTACTTAGGTGTTCACGTTTAACCTATTCTGTTACCTAGGTGTTAACGTTTACGCTATTCTGTTGCTTCAGTGTTCACGTTTACCCTATTCTGTTACCTAGGTGTTCACATTTACCGTTTTCTGTTACTTCGGTGTTCACGTTTACCCTATTCTGTTACTTAGGTGTTCATGTTTCCCCTATTCTGTTACTTCGTTGTTCACGTTTACCCTATTATGTTACCTAGGTGTTCACATTTACCGTTTTCTGTTGCTGAGTTGTTCACGTTTACCCTATTCTGTTAATTAGGTGTTCACATTTACCCTATTATGTTACCTAGGTGTTCACATTTACCGTTTTCTGTTACTTCGGTGTTCACGTTAACCCTATTCCGTTACTTCCGTGTTTACGTTTTTACCCTATTATATTACTTCGGTGTTCACGTTTAGCTATTATTTTACTTCGGTGTTCACGTTTACCTTATTCTGTTACTTAGGTGTTCACGTTTACCCTATTATGTTACTTAGGTGTTCACGTTTACCCTATTCTGTTACTTAGGTGTTCATGTTCACCCTATTCTGTTACTTCGTTGTTCACGTTTACCCTATTATGTTACCTAGGTGTTCACATTTCCCGTTTTCTGTTACTTATGTGTTCACGTTTACCCTATTCTGTTACTTAGGCATTCACGTTTACCCTATTCTGTTACTTAGGTGTTTACGTTTACCCTATTTTGTTACTTAGGTGTTCACGTTTACCCTATTATGTTACTTAGGTGTTCACGTTTAACCTATTCTGTTACTTCGGTGTTAACGTTTACCCTATTCTGTTACTTCAGTGTTCACGTTTACCCTATTCTGTTACCTAGGTGTTCACATTTACCGTTTTCTGTTACTTATGTGTTCACGTTTACCCTATTCTGTTACTTAGGTATTCACGTTTACCCTATTCTGTTACTTCGTTGTTCACGTTTACCCTATTCTGTTACTTCGGTGTTCACGTCTACACTATTCTGTTTCCCAGTGTTCACGTTTACCCTATTCTGTTTCTTCAGTGTTCACGTTTACCCTATTCTGTCACTTCGGTGTTCACGTTTACCCTATTATGTTACTTAGGTGTTCACGTTTACCCTATTATGTTACCTCGGTGTTCACGTTTACCCTATTCTGTTTCTTCAGTGTTCACGTTTACCCTATTCTGTCACTTAGGTGTTCACGTTTACCCTAATATGTTTCTTAGGTGTTCACGTTTACCCTAATATGTTACTTAGGTATTCACGTTTAACCCTTTCTTTTACAACATTTAACACATCGGCAATATATTACATTTCTACTGTTTATCAACCATGGTACAAGTCTGTTTCAAAGGCCATGTCGTAATGCAAATATGAACAAGGAATGCATGTGCAGCTTGTAATAGGTGCATCTCTTCCAGGTTCTCTGAATATACTCTTGTTAAAGTGTGAATACAGGTTTCACAGCTGCAGCACTAGAAATTAGGCCGTAGACATTGCGCGGCTTGTTTGTGAAATGAAAACAAGGCATCACGTAATATTTTTGTTGTACAATGACAATGACAATTGTTTATACAATACAATTTATATTTATACATATTATTTTAAGTGGTAGAATTAATATAACGTATGTTTGAATAGGATGGTGGAAAATATAACCCTGTTTTTGAAAACGATGCCACTGAGGCAAAAACGGTAGTTTTTCCCAACATTCTCTCATTCTCGTTTTATATTTTGACATTATAAATGCACATATATGTATTGTTGATTTTTTAAATAATCACTAGTTAACCTGCATTTTTATGTATATACCTGCATGCTTATTATCAACATTGTGGCAGCCTTTTTATGCATAGTTGTAGCTGAAGACTGTGTGGAAGTTGTATTATATACCTGTCAATCTGATTAGATACGATTTTTCAATTATAATTGAAGAAAGCAATCGTGAATGAATGAAGGCTAATACTAAATGAGAATGTGAATGACACTGTCCACCACAGTGATACTGACCTTGGTCACATAGCTGTAAGTGTGTCAAGTCAATATGTAAACCAATAGCATATTGACCTTGGTCACAAACCTAGACGTACACATACACACAAACCTAGACGTACACATACACACAAACCTAGACGTACACATACACGCAAACCTATATACTTCTGCATTCGCGTTTAAGCCAAAACGCTGTTACAACCATATACACATGATATACCATAGTATAAAAAAAGCATTAGGTAATGGACCTACTACAGCAAAAGGCTGTTCTGTACGACTAAAATATTCGTTTGTGCGTAGGCTTGTGTACACCAAAAGTGTTCTGCACGCTAATTAAATATGTGCTTTGAGCATAACTTCACAACATTGTCGCAAGAATAGCACTTCAGTGCTAATGTTATTATGTTACATGTATATATGCGACGTTAAATAAAGCTTCTTGACTCTTGACTCTTGTACTAACTAACGTTATACTCACCAGCTGGCTGTTGCTTGTGGTCGGCCATTATCACACTGCAGGGAATACAAGTGTGTAACAAGTCTGACGCGATCAGGCATACTCCACTATATAGTAAGTTTACATTGGATGCTATCGGAGGTTTTACGCCACTGCTGGCCGGGTTGAAGGTTACGGCAGTAAACTTGATTTAAATATTAACGACATGGTGTCAATACATTTTATGGTCTGATGTGTAGTATTTTCTAGGCAGATACTAGCTATTTATATATATGGTATGTGTATCTTAACAAATTGAAAGGTGAGAATTTATATTTATCATGCTAGGATTAAATGTTATGTCTGCACAACACTGATCTATCAGCCCCTCTTTCCTCTGGCCCTGACAACAGGCTTCGAAATTATGACAAATACATGTCTGTTGTGTCAAAATGTCTGAGTCTGGTGTCAGGGCTAGAGGAAACTCGAGCTAATCTGTAATATGTATCCTATATATTAAGATATTTGTCGAAAAACTTTTAGAAATTCGGTGTGTATTTCAATTTTTCTTGTTTACAGTTGGCTTGTGGCATGGACATATGAAATGCAGATTTTATACTTACGTGATATAAAGATATCGGCAAAATTATCACGGATAATCTAGTAAGATATCGACAGAAATTCAAACGTTATTGCGACATATTCATAGATTATGTCGACATAGGTAACTCGTAAGTCGAAAGCCGATGGCAGAAATATGTCACCATACGATATAACCGTTATTAATTTATATCAAAGAAATGTTTGTTATCTGTACTAGACAACGTGTATAAATGTTTCCGTTTTGAGACCATTGTCAAATTCACAAACAGTTTCGCCCAATTTCCCACGTTGAACTCCATCCCTCTGCTCAAACAGAGCCACGTCCTTGAAGTATACAACAATGAATCTCCATCACCCAGGGATGCTCCGTAGGCTTTTAAAGAAACTGTTTATAGACATACGTTATTGAAAGGCATGCAATAAGTCAGTCTTAGCCGTTTTAATTTATCTAGGTTCACTTCCGTGAGACATCCATAACCCCATTATTACAAAAAAGATTCAATGCAATGCTTAAACAAGTGTATTACTCACCAGGAAACCCATATTTAGAACTTAAAAGCAATAAAACTAGGACAGGATGACCCTTTAAAACCATGACAAGGAACAAAGAGAATAAGACCAACTGTTCAAGAAGAGTAATTATCCAAGTTTTGATAGCATTAGTTCATAGATTTCCGGAGATGCAGGTTCGTGAAGACTATAGGATAGTTTTATTTTCGACAAATGATCATGGTTATTGGGAAAATGTTATTTTTTAGTGATATGGAGGTCAGTGTTTTTAAATCTGCTCGTTAGTGTGAATTTTTGTTTCGTTGTCTCGTCCTAAAATCTCGATTTGAGGACGAGACATTACTTTACATAAAGGGCCGGTTTTCAAAACGGCCCCTTCTCTGATTCAAATTGCCCATGCCGTTGTGGTCACAAATCTATAAAGTATAAAGATTTAGGTCACTTGGTTTGTTTTTTATGGCTCCTCAAAGTTGTACCTTTCAAAAGCTGTCTAAGTGTTGATAAAATGTGCATGTTATGTAAAATATTAATGAAAATCTAATCAAATGATGGTCAACGTAAAGAATACATGCATGGCATGATTGTGACAAAAAATCATGTTTCCATCGCGCCATTTGGCTGTTTTATGGAAGAAACAATCTCAAAAATGCCATTTTCGATGATAACATTTTAGACACAAAAACTGTGTTTTTTAGAGAATACACCCTTTTATGGGCGTTGGATGCAAACCAATTTTTATCCTATTAAACAGTACGTAATATGCTATTGATGAGAGGAAAAATCATCAAAATGTAAGTGGTGGAACATTTTCAAATGTTGGGTTGAATTAGCCTATGGTTGAATTGCCGATTTTCGACTTTCTTTAGATAATTAACAAAAAAACGAGAGTATTTGCTCGGTATGTTGAGAATATGTACACAGATATGAAAAAAAGTGAGAGAAACACTTTTTCATAAAAAAAATCCAAGATGGCTACTTCACAAGTCCCCGTGGTTGAAGACATTGGCTGACAAATAGACAGAACAACAAACAAAACGTGTTCCTTATGATTTTGGTTGGTTTTCGCATTTACGGGAGTGTTCATAGCTACGGGCGATTGTATAATACCTATATTTATAAGTTTGGTTAGTCACATGGTAACGGGGATCTTTCATATCGAGCCCCAAACATACTTTCGACATATGCACTCCGTTGCCGCATGGAAAACTATTTCAAGTTTTGTCGGAATTTCTTTACCTGTGGTTGTAATGGTCGAGGGTTTTCCAGCGTCCTGTAATACCCAAGGTAGTACAAGATACTGGAGATGTGCGCACACATTCCCATCGTTCTCTCTCCAACTGGGCACTGGCAGTAGTAGTCCTTTATTGGGGCCTCAACATCGGGTGAAACGGTGAACCGTATCCAAACGTTATATTTCGTTTGGCTTTTGTGTCGAGAATGTATTTGACATCGGAGAAGGTCTGGGGAGTGCTGGTAAAGCCACACCTCATAGTCTCCGTCATCACTTAAATGTTCGGCGATGTAACCAGGAGCCAGAGATATCTGATACGTTCCACACGTAATGGTTCTCAAGTAATCAAGATCGAGACGGGGAAACAGTACGGAAGATGCATCCATCTTGACAAACTCGGACCTTGCCCGTCTAGATAGATCCGGATCTGTCTTGACTCTCTGAGCTAAACCATTCGGTGTTGTCAAACGGTCCTTCATACGTTCAGCCATTAGCCTATCTTTGGCATCTCTCTCTGGAGATCTCTGGTAGATCGGTCCTCTAATACCATTCAGACAGGCTGTGACGGTTCGAAGCAAAGCCTCGATGACATTGATAAAGCTGTTAGACACCAATTGCGTTCGGAAGAACGTCCAGTGTTTCAGACGACCATGATAGGATTCCACAATCCACCTCGATTTGGTGATAGTTCTGTCAAGATTTGCTTGGACGTCAGAATGTTGACTTTGACCGGGTTTCAGGTATGACGGCATGCTAGCATTGAGGCCAGAGGCTTCGAGAACTGGTAGGACATCTCTAAAACCTCGGTCAACGACAACGTTGTCGTCTGGTTGTAGCCAAGTAACTAGCTTGTCCATGACTTTTTTTGTAATTGTAGCATCATTTTCGCTGCCAGTGAATGGTCCTACTGTGTCCAGAATGTAGCCATCTGGTAAGGCGATGCTCATGAATTTGAGATAGTTTCTCTTCTTCTGGCCACAGTAGGACATTCTCTGGAGCTTGTGGTCGGAGCTTTTCTGGATATAAATATAGGTGCCATCTAATATGGCAGTGGCTTTATCTCCAAAAAATGCTTCTGAAAAGACAGTATTGTGCCCGAGCAACTGTTCTCTTGTCAAGTGATCCGGACCTAGAAATTGTGGGACTATCGATGTGTCTAATGCCTGTACTATGGAGTGGAAAGTTTTGGACACACTTGACTTGGAAATTCCAAAAAGAGAAGAACACTGACTCCAGGAAATGTCGGTTTTCAGTTTTACCCAGAACAGTAATAGAGCATCGTGTGTAGTCTTGGTATATATACCAGATGAAAGATATGGGGAACAGTGCGAGTGGATTTCGAGGAACTGATCTTTGGACCAACCTGTCCAGGCCATGCATGCCGAGTCATCAAGAGAAGAAAAGCTTATTGTAAACGCAGACTGGTTCTGTGAAAGGACGTGCGACACCTCTAGGAGGTCATTAATGATTTCGGACGATTTTGATGGTAACTGAGATTCCAAGGAACCTCTACCATCAAGGACAACCTCTGTAGACGGATCTAAGTCGTTACCAATAAGGTGAATGGAGCAGACGCGGGATGAGGTGGGACACCACAGTTTGTGTGAATAGATCAGGTGATGTCTTGCACGTTTTGGTAAGACTGATGATTTTGTTCCATTTCTTGCAAAGGTAACAAGACAGAGACAGCATTTTTTTGTGTGAAGATGATCCATTCAAAAGATCATGAAGGGTCAGCAACGGCAGGATATGGGACGGGGAGTCGTCTTCTTCCTCTATTTCCTGGTTCTGCTCGGGTTCAGGTTCTGGCTGATTTTTGTTCCGAAGATACTTCATGTAGCACTTCTGGCAAATAAGGTAAATTTTCGCTTTATTCTGCTACTTTTGGAATACAAGTACCGACATCTGTTCTGAATCAACAACATCCCAATCATCGCTATAAAGGGATAATTTATTTACGTTGTAACTTACTAATATCGTACTTTGTGCGGTTTGAAATTCTCCCTTGGTACCTTCTTGCATGCGTGCTCTAATTAAACCCGTATTTTTTTTTATTCGAATCCAACTGTGAACAAATATCTAATTAGATTTATATATTATGATGCTCATTATTCTTGCTTGCGATGTATTTTGTAAATCCAAAGCGTCAAAAAGGTGTTATGTGCGGAATCAAACTCGCTTGTTAACTTCTCACTGAAAGGCCCGGATACGTAATGTTTGGTTAGGAGGTATATAATTTCAGTATCTAATTGATTTCAAAGGTGTTATTTGACTAAATACTTTAATAGTCCCTTTAAGAATCATGCTGTTATGAATGCACTTCAACTAATAAAAGTAAATTATGTGTCCCTGGATGTGATACAGGATTTCATGTTTTCCTAGTATCATAAATGAAAACTAGAAAGTTTCAGTTATTTTTTATCACATCTGAAATCAAACACATTCCAACGCAATGTAATTACTATTTAGATGAAATCAAGGATGTTCTTATAATATCACAAACAGGATATACCAGTCACAGTTCGTTAATATCAAGCATATTCCTAAAAGGATTCTTTTTATGTCATGGTAATACTGTTTTTGATTGACGGTGGTGGTCAAAGGGACCTGATGTTTAAGATTCAACAAGCCTGATTGATCGAATCAACTGTTCATAGTTCACCGATATATCCCCAGTTTCATGTTGCTTTCTATCTTGCACTATCTACCCGGAGATGGCGTGCCGGGCGTGGCCCCCTAATAGATGATGCAGTCACCTAAAATGTCATATTCATAGACCATAATTAAAAATCAGAACTTATATATGTAATTTGTCTATATTGAACTT